TTGTCCATTTATGCTTTGGTTTTGTGTTGGTAAAGTATCTATTTTTCTAGAAGTTTTATTTTCCGGGGTGCTGTCCAAATTGGTGTGCTTTTTCTTTCACCCTCCAAATGCTGGCTTTTTAGATTGCTGGTATTTTCCTTTGCCTACTGAGAAGAGAATTCTATTCACCCTTAGCACTCAGGAAGCTGCTAGGATACCTTGGAGCTGATGAAAATGCAGTTGTAGTAGAAAAGAGGATCACACAAAGTAAAAGACACAGAAGTCATAGCTCCTGATCTGACAAAGCACCAATGGCAAGCTGCCAGTGTGAAAGTCTGGGCTTTGCCAGCCTTTAAGGATAAGACATGCTTGGTATTTTTAAAATAGACTTCTGTGTCAACTTAAAAACGATACTTTGTGCTCAAACTGAATCCCAGTCAACTTCAAGTACTTTCAATCAGTGAAGTTTAGGGATGGTAAAGACCTACTCCAAATGTTCTCATTTTACAAATAAAGATAATGAGATTTTGAAAATGATGTTAACTTTTCAGAATCATCTCAGCAATATAGAAAAAAACTGGATTCTAGACCTTGTGACTTCAGCCTTCAATTAATAGTTCTATTTTCTGTCATCTAGTATTTACATTCTTAGCATTTACTACTAAATGAACTTTCTTGTAGAATGTTGTCATATAATATTGGTATTCCAAGAGAATAATGGGTAGGTACTTAATAATACAAGTGAAAATAGTATTGGTAAATCAAAACAAATGCTAGCGTAGCTTTACCTTAAAATTATGGTTAATCACGATCTAAATTTAATTAAAACTGCAGTTGTTAATAAAGAAGATATAATGATAATCTTTAAGATGTGCTGTTCTTTGAAAAAAGGGGACCTCTGGTATATACTTAGGAAAAATCAATCTGCTGGATCTGACATCACCTCAAGTGGCCATGTGAGAAAATATTTCAGATTTTAAATGTACAGTTTATTTTTTATCATATTTGGCATAGCCAGAAACATTTGTATAGTTACATTAAAATAATAACTTTTATCTGACACTATGCTACGTATAATAAAGTGTCTTTCACAATGTGGGTATTACTGTAGTTTAAAAGAGTAATAGGGGCCTCCCTTGGTGGCGCAGCGTTTGAGTGCTGGACTGCAAAGCTGCCCGCAGCCTCTGAAGTGCCAGTTTGATCCCTGGCCCCCGGGGCGGATCCCACATGGCGTGACAGACCTCTCCTGTGGCGCCCACTGCTCTCCTCAGCAGTATATTTTGTCAGTCTGCCTGTTCTGTTCCCCACTCTGGCTCTGGTGAATTCTCTCACCCTCCCATGTTTCTGACTGTACCCAGTGCTTGTATAAATAAATAATAAATAAATCTTTTTTAAAAAGGCAATTTTAAAAATAAATAAATAAAAGAGTAATAGGGTAAACATAGAATCACCTTGAACCTGTCACTACCTCTGTGAACTTCAGTGTCCTCTCTTGCCCTACCTGCCTCTTTGAGCTGTAAAATTAACACTTAGATATGAAAGTTCTTTTAAAACTACTGTTTTTAATTTTATTTCTTAAATGTCAAGTGACCTCATGGGAAATAATTTCATATATATTGTATATAAGGCCATTTTATATAACACAAGGTGAGATTATAATGTTTCACAGTTTTGTTCAAACATTCTTGAACATCCTCTCACCGCCCACACCTCTGGCCTGTACCCCAGTTCTTGTATGCATAAATAAATAAATCTTTTTAAAAAATAGAGAAACTCTTGCCATTTGTGACAACACAGATGAACTAGAGGGGATCATGCTAAGTGAAATAATTCAGAAGGAGAAAGACAAATACTGATCGTCTCAACCCCTTGCGCCACCAGGGAGGCCCCCACAACATTGCATTTTGTTAATAATACTTATGGCCCATTCATCTGAAATGGACCACAGTCCACATCTTTCTGTATTTTTTTACGTTTTTCTCATTGACTCCATTCTTCAGCCATTTGGTTCAACTTAAATATAATATGATCCAGCAAAGCAAGGCACCTGGACCTCTAGGCATGCAGTGATCAGGAACCTATCACATGTATATCTTATGGTAGTTCAACACAACAGAATAATTTTCTATCTTTTTCCCTAAAGAATATAAACAAGACCAAAAAAAAAAAAAAAAAATATATATATATATATATATATATAACAAGATTGATGGAAAATATCTTCAAAAAGCTTTGTTCAAAAGTACTTTAATTATACCCATTTCCCCAATATATTTCATCTAAGATGTTAGCCCTACCAGTTAAATTTTGATATCCATGTCAGCTTGTAGGGTTTTTTAGTTTTTGTATTTTACACATATATCTTACCTGCACTTAATACCTAGATACCTTTTTGGCTGCATAAGCAATGAATGGGATGACTTCAAAAGATCTCTCTGTTGGAAGGTTGCACCTAATGTGAACCATTTTTAAACTTTTACTTTTGTCTCTTTCTCCTTGAATACTTGCTCCCCAGAGCCACTCAACCCCTTGAGAAGAAAAAAGATCTTTTTTTTTTTTTTTTTTTTTTTTTTTTTCCCAGATCCAGTGAGAGAACCCAATAGTAAATGAAACTATTCAGGCTGAAGTCAAACCTAAGTTGCTATTGAGCCATTTGGGCTTTTTACCTACAGCTCTGTGAATATCCTGAGAGCCAATATAAGGTTTTCTTCTGTGTTAGTCAGGGATATTCTCCTTAAAAAAACTGCCAAACTGAACTTTGCCAGGTTGTTATCTGTGCTTGTCTGATAAACTTCTGTTGATACTGCAATGATAAACAACAAATAAGCTTTCTTGAAATCTTAGTTTGTACCAGTGCTATTACATAAACATAAACTGTTTTATTTGTATTATGCTACTTAATCCTCATAACAACCTTTTATTATTTTTACTTTATAGATGGGTAACTCAGGCAAAGAATAGTTAAGCAACTTGTACATAGTTCTTTATTCTAACAAGTAGTAGCACCAGGGTTTAAACTCAAGCAGTCTGACTCCAGAGTTCATACTCTTAATCTCTATGCTGCATCACCTCCCAACTAGCTTATTTCGTCTAAAGCCTGTGAAGGTAGTCTCTTTGATATATCTGTTACCTCTCTTTGCCTCTGTCACCTCTGTATAAAAAGTGAAATGATGTCCTGGTTACAAATCATGCTATCTGGAATCTAACTTCACTGCCCTCCCCCAGCCTCACCCCTCTCCTCCCCTTCTCCCCTTCCTCTTCCTTCCTCCTACCCTTCCTCCTCTCATCAACTAATGCATAAAGGTAAAGGCATGTGAACAAACTTCATTACCTCAAGAAATTAGAGGAAACATACTCTGCATCATTCAGACTTTATTTGGTTTCAAGGTACGACGAACTTGCTGAAGCTAGCTTATGCAAAGGGGATTTACAGGAAAAAGTGGTGTTAAATGGAACCCAAAAACCATAATAAACCTCAAGAGGAACTAAAAGCAGGAACTAGATAATCAGAAACTAAGATCACTTCCTTTTTCAGATGTAACATGTTAGATGTCTACAGGGGAGAAAAGGAAACATTTCATTCCACCATAGGGTAAAAAATTTCTTGAAAAACAAGAGTGGACAAATGTCCCTCAAAAGGTACCTTTTCTGAGCCTCCCTGGTGGCGCAAGGGGTTAAGACACAACCTTTGACACTATCCGCAGCCACTGCAGCATGAGTTCGATCCCCAGCCAGAGAGCTTACCCACGTGGCACAGCAGACCTCTCCTGTCTCACCTGCTGCTCCCCTCAGCAGTGTATTTAAGTCAATCTGCCTGTTCTGCTTCCCATTCTGTCTCTGGTGAATCCTCTCACCCCCCACACCTCTGGCCTGTACCCCAGATCTTATATGCATAAATAAATAAATCTTAAAAAAAAAAAAAGGTACCCTTTCTGTCCTCCATCATTTGAAAGGAAATTCAAGTACAATACACATTGACACTTGCATGGATTTAAATTAGTAACCAAGCAATCCCTTTAAGTTACTCCCTGCCTTCTTGTCCCTCCATAAGACCTGATGCCTGGCATTTTGTCTTTTTCTCACATATTCATTTTCATTAGTCTTTTGTAGCCCTTCTAACATCTGAATATAAGATACTTGATTTTGCTTCATCTGTTCTTCCTAGATCTGTGAGTTTTGAAATCAAGACTTGGTGCACTTGTCTTTTCACTTAACTCAGGAATCTGCCTAATTTCAATCCCCATTATTCATTCTATTCCTTCACCCTTCCCTATTACTTTGCCTTCCTTGTTCTTTTTACTCTATACTTTTTTCCAATGAACACCTACTGATTCGTCATATTTCTAAAGGACCTTCCCCACCCTTTCCTGTTAGATGAAGTCTATATTCTTGAGAATTCTGCAAAATCATGCCCTACCCAACCTATCCCAGTCAATCCAAGTCAAATCCTTCATTCTAGATAGGTCATTTTCCACACTTATTTATAAACTTACCACATCTTCATCATTACCCTACACTTTTGCAAGTGCAGTTTTCTTGCTTGCAAGGCCCTTTCTCAATGCTTTCTGTTAAAATTCAGCCCATTCATTACCAGTCTCAATTAATTTGAGTTATAGTCCCTCTAAAGGTCATCTTTCCGATATCGTGACAGACCAACTATCCAGATGTGCCTGGAGTTTCCTGGAACATGTGACTTTTAATACTAAATCTGCACATTTCTAGGCAAACTAAGAGATAGTACAATACCTTACTGTCTCTCCTTATGCTGCCTTATTAGAGCAAAAAATTTGTACAAGTACCAGTAGCCACTAATTTCACACTTGTAAAATTCTTTCTCCACAATAAGAGTTATGCTGCTATTGACACAGACCCTTTTGATTCCCACTTCATACAGAATATAGCATATTCTGTATTCATGCAAATGCCTTCCCAGTGAATACAGTGGTTTCATTTTAGGTTTGCACTATATCTAAAATCTTTTCCTTGTGTGTGTTAATTTATTTGTCTTTATTTTTTTCCAGCCCAGATGACTTACTCAATGCCTTGAATGAGGGTATCAGTCGTGCTGATGTCATCATCACATCAGGGGGTGTATCCATGGGGGAAAAGGTATGAAAAAACAGGGCTCATGAAAATTTGTCTACTGCATTGTCCTTGCATACAGTTGATTAACTGTGGTCTGGTAGACGTTCTGGTATCCATAACAAAGGTCCTATAAAGCTGAAAATCTATGGGCTTATGAAATCTGTGGACTTTGTAACAGGGATACAACATGGATAGGTGAGAGAGCTTACGTCAAGAGCATCATAGAGAATCCCACAACTTGCAGAATAGTTTTGATGACCCTAGGAGATTTTTAGTTTGTTGCTCACTCGTCTTTACTGCATTAGAGACTGCTTTTATATGTGATATTTACCCCCAAGGTAAAGCTCCAAGATCCTTCCTGTTACTAAAATTTCAATTTAAAGATGGCCTTCCCCAACATATTTCCAAACTGCGAAAGAACCCTTAACTCCCCACAGAGAAGAAAGAAAGGATTAGGCATTCCTTTGCCCCACTGACAAATAATTATAATCATAATGATGAAGATAAAATACAAATATGTATAAGATTTTATAGGACTAAGTATATTTGCATATGGTATACACTTAGTCCAGTAAAAAAAATCACAGTTTGAATCTCTCAGTATAATTAACATTATATATCTTAGTGAAACATGTTCATTTGTGATTATTATTGAGTTCACTGAAAAATGTTATAAAAACAAAATATTCTTTACCACAGTAACCAATCATATTTTTACTGATCGTATTTTAGATCACAAAATATCTTGCCAGTCTATAATCCTTTTCTATGTATCCATTTGTCTTTAATGACTAAACTGAAAAATTAATAAAAATTGTTATGTAAGTTTTTACTAAAATTTATATTTTCTGAGAACTTGATTTATTTTAAGCTAGATCTTATGTATATGATTATTCTTCTGCCTTCCCTCTGTAACTATAAAACATAAAACTGCCTAAATTTATAACCTGACTTTGGTCAGTGAACTCTACTGTCCCTGAGAGCAAATGTCAGGATTCATTACCCTGAACTGAGAATTCTGCCTTCCATTTACAAACTTTAATTTAAAAGTGTTTGACAATAATGCATCAGCTACCAAAAACCTTAGAAGAAAGAGAGAATCTAAGTCCAAGACTACCATGTTAGATTACATCAAAGGGTGAAGGTGTTGAAAAACAAGTAGGTGTTCTTCTTATGGCAGAGTGCCTGGTAAGTAGTCTCCCCTCAAAGTATCCTATAAGTCTTTTGCCTTAGGTGAAGTAAATTGCTGCTGTAAACCTCTCCTGCGGTCACAAAGGCTAGGAGCTGAGATCTGCATTGTAGAAGATCTATAAGAAGTAATTGGCAGCATTTCTGTTTTCATTACCATGGAACTGCCTCTCTGGTGCTCTGAGTATCAAAAAAGCCAACCCTGAAGTTAGGATTATACTTAGATGTTAAATTTGTTATCTCCAGAGAGTATTTCATGCATAATTTATCTTGGTTGCTAATTAATTTGTAGGACAGTACCAATTTGACAACCTAAAATTTGTCTTTTCCATGCTTTTGAAAAGGCTTCAAGTATGAAGCATGTATTGGTTTGGCATTTGTGGCTCAACTGTGATAAGTAAGGGACATTTATCAACCTTAGTTTGCTTCTTAGTATTAACAAAGATGCCATTTATCTTAGAAGTTTTCTCATAAATAAACAGTCAACATAGTAAAACATTGATTTTACTTATTTTATTCTCTGTGTGCTAAGATATATACATTAAACCTTTAAGTTACTAGGAAAGATATTTTAGGAACTGGACATCCCAAGATATTCCATAGGCACTAATGATTGTCATTGCTACATCCTTGAGTGGGAATGAGATGAAAAGAGAAACCAAGAAGAAAAACATAAAGCATAAATGATGCAAACTCCAACCAGTACAAGTTCTAGTCCCGAAAAGAATTCCAGTGTACCTCAATAGCAGAAAGAAAGGAAAGCATAAATGATAGGACATCTGCTTCAGCCCAAGGGCTAACCCTGAAAGGCAGACATAGAAAAGACAGGTACATTAATTAAGGAAAGATCCAGAAGCATGATGATAAAGTAGCAGGCATAAATCTTAAGTCCAGAAACTCAGGTCTGTAGATTTTAATTCATTGAACTTAAATCTTATTGTGAGTACTTATGCTATGGAACTGACAAAAGATTTTAAGCCACTAATGGGGCTCACCCCCTCTGAGTGAATCTTACACCAAGAATCTGGGAGGGACTTGTGAGGCAACAGTGCATATACAAGATGCATCTGGTCACCAGTTTGCACTGAATGCAGTTTGCACTGAATGCATCTAGAGTGTACATGTAGTACCAGTAGATCTTAGGTCTTTGCTACTTTGGGTCATACTAGCAGCACAAGGATCATGGGGAGACTGTCTGTGAGACACACAAGTCTTTATCCACTTCTCAGCCAAGGAGACACCATTTCCGCAGTTGCTCCCTCAAATCTTTCCTGACCTCCACCTCACCCTGCCCCACGTAGTTTTTTCAAAGAGGTTTTCATTTTTTTTAAACACTGAAGCCTTTACCCAAGAAATTATTCTTTGTAGTATCAGTAGTTTAAAGTACCTATGACAGTCCTTTTCCCTAATACTTTGAATTTCTCTTTATTGCAGACACAATTTTTTTGGCAGTATACATCATTTATTTTTTCTCTAAATTATGTTTATTGTGGTCAAGTTAGTTTGCTTCATTGTATCTTTGGTGTTTATAGGTTTAAACTTCTGCAAATGTGTATTATCACGCCATGCCCACCACCAGGATTTCGTTTCCTGCCACCTTACTGAATTTATTTATTATTTCAATTAGTTTCTTTAGTGGCATCTTTAGAGTGTTCCATGTATATTATGTTATCTGCAAATAATGAAACTTTTACTTCTTCTTTGCCAGTTTGTATTCCTTTTATGTATTTCTCCTGCCTGATTTCTCTATCTAGACACCCAATATATGTTGAATACTAGTGGTGAAAGTAGACATCTTGTATTGTACTAGATAAGAGAAAAAACTTTCATTTTTTCACCATTGAGTATGATGATGGCTGTGGGTTTGTCATAGATAATCTTTATTATGTTAAGGAATATTCCATCTATCCTGTTTTTTAAAGGTTTTTATTATACATAAATGGAAATTGAATCTTATCAAAGTCTGCATTTATTTAGATATTTATATTTTTATCTTTCCTTTTGTTGATGTGATGAATTACACTGACTGATTTTCAGAAGTGAAACCAATCCTTTGTCCCTGGAATAAATCCCACTTGGTCAAGATTATAATCTTTTTGATGTATTTTTGGATTTGTTTTGCTGAAATTTTGTTGAGCATTTTTGTATCTATCTTCAGAGAAATTGGTCTGTAATTCTCTTTGTGATACCTTTGTCAGGTTTTGGTATCAGTAAGGTTGACCTCATAGAATGTGTTCGGAAGTTTCCCATCTTTCTCCACTTTTTGGAAGAGTTTGAATAAGATAAATATTAGTTCATCTTTGAAGACTTGGTGGAGCTCACTAGTGAAACCATCTGGGCCGCACTTTTGTTCTTTGGGAGACTTTTGATTACTATTTCAATTTCTGACTTGTGATTAGTCTGCTCAGATTTTCTAGATCTTCCTGGTTCAATCTTGGAGGGTTGTAGATTACTAACAATTTCTCTATTTCATCTAGATTATTCAATTTGTTGGCATATAGGTGCTTACAGTAATCTCTCATGATCTTCTGTATTTCTTAAATGTCTATTATAATTTCTCCTCTTTCATTTCTGATTCTATTTATTAGATTTTTCTCCCATTTTTTTCTTAATGAGTCTAGCTAGCATTTTATCTATTTTGTTGATTTTTTTCAAAGACCTCTTTTTGGTTCATTGATCCTTTGGACTGTATTTCATTTAGTTCTGTGCTAATTTTTATTATTTCCTTCCTTCTACTGGCATTTGGCTTAATTTGTTCTTCCTTATCTAATAACTTGAGGTGAGGCTATTTGAGTCCTTTCTTTTTTCTTGCTGTGGCCTGAATTGCTATATACTTTCCTCTTAGTATCACTTTTACTATGTTCCATAGGTTGTGCCAGACACAAACTATTGACTATAGCTAATAGCAGGGCACTCAGAGCATCAGAAACTTTTTTATAGATGCCACTTAATAAAGTGATAAAATAAAGTTACTAAATAAAAGTGTTTATGTTTTACTGTAATCAATATCAGAATAGGAGATAAGGAAAATTCTTTTGAGAGATAAGGCATATAATTATTCTATAAAAGATTGATCAGTGTTTTCCCTGAAGGTGAAAACATATGCACATCAAGGGCATTGTCAAATCTTCAGGCACTTCTCAGAAAGCATAGAATTTCTAAAATGTTTGTATTAATGACACCTTCCATGAATAATCTAACCTCGGGCAAACTGAGTATCTCTTCTCAGATATGACAGCTTTTCCCCTCCCATGAAACTCTTACAATGGTAACACATCAAACAAACCTAATAATTTCTAGCATCTATTTTTATAAGATGAAAGAACAAAGCTTTGTGATTTCCAAGGTCTGTTCAGGAAATTCCAAAGATAATTTTAGGTGTACAAGATATTCTTTTAAAAGATATTATTTTATTTTTTCTAAATTTAGATCTCATCATTAAAAGGTAAAATCAAGAGTTACCAATAAAGTAGACATAAAGCAGAATAGTTTACACAAAAAGAATAATCTTTCCTCTCATAGGGAAAATATTAATCAATAATCCAAAGAAATGAAACTTATAAACTTGCTAAAAGTTTATTTCTCAAGGTTGAGTTCAGATACAGGTATCATAAAACAAGGCAAATAAAACTCACTTTCAAAATTTGCCCTTTATTTGTATTTAAAACAAAATTTAACAGTTTACTTTAGAACAAAGAGTGGTCTCCAGATCCATAGAGGTCCCTGAAACCCTTTAAGTGGGTCTTCAAGGTCAAAACTATTTCAAAAAAACTAAGACCTCATTTGATATTATTGTCTCATGACAATAAGTTTTTCAACATATGACCATATGATATCTCATTAGACTGAATGCTGAAGCAACTGAGAATCCAACTGAATTCTATTAAGCTAAATGTTACAGACTTTCAAAATTATGAACCAATGTATAAAAATAAATTACTTATATTAACATGAAATGACTATAATTGCTGTTTCCAAAATACCAAGAAGTAAATAATTTTTAATTTATCACATTTTTCATTTTTAATATTTCATGGCAATTTTTTTTAAGGTAACATTGATTTTCTATACTATATATGATTCAGAGGTATAGGGCCACACCTCTTCAGTTGTATGTAACCACACCACACCCACCACCAAGGCACCCATATTCTTCCACCATAGTCCATTTGGCCCCCTCCACACTCTGCTGTCTACCCTCTCCCTTCCTTTGTGATACCCTCAATTCTACAGTCAGACTTCTAGGGCTTGTTAATTGGTTCAGTTCTGTCTGACCCTTTGTTTTTTTTCTCTATATTCCACATGTAAGTAAAACTATCCAGTATTTGTAACTCCTTCTGACTTATTAGTTAGCATCATCCTCTCTAGTTCCACACATGTAATCACAAATGGCAAAAGCTCATCTTTTTTTTATAACTGAGTGATATTCCATTGTGTATATATATATATGACATCTTAATCCTCTCATCTGTCCTTGGACACAGATTGTTTCCATAACTGGGCTATTGTGAATAGTGCTACAGTGAACATAGGAGTGCATATATATCCCTTCAAATTAGCATTTTTGCATTCTCAATTTCTAATGCTAAATATCAATAGATATAACCCACATAAGCAAAAGCTGTAGAAATCCTTAACAAATTTAAATATAAGAGTATGCAAAGGCTCCTGAGACCCTTTTGAGAACTGGAATACACACTCATACCCATTTTTTTCCTTTAAAACAAGAGTACACAGTTATACTTCTCTGTCGTTACTGCTCCTAATGTAATTGTAGTCCCCGTATTCATTATGCAGAATTTAGAAAATGACCAATTTCTATTTCACAGGGAAAACTAGAGAGCATAGATAATTTAGAAATCACATGTAAGCATTATAGCAGACTAATAGAACTCATAAACACACGGAATACAGCTTTCTCCAGCCACACACATTCCTTTTGTACCTTCTTAATGTAGCAAAGATGAACAAAGAACATTCATTAACATGACCCAAAAATATAATGTATCTGTAGCATATAAAAATAAGAAACAAAGTAATTAACTTAAAAACAAAAGCATATTAACTTTAAATAATGTTAATTAATCAAAGAGCTAATATTTAATCTTACTTGAAAATCATCTAGATATCTGATGATTATTCGTGATTATTATCAATTTGAGATTTTAAGTTTCTTAAAAACTTAAAAAAAATAGTTTTAAACAAAACTATTTGTATGCTGACAGACTATAAACATAGTTACTACTTAAAAGGTTTTTAGAATAATGGGTTCAATTTCACTGAACCCAGTTTTACATTTTTCACAGTCTTAAATATTAATAAGAATAATGTCAACTTATTTGATGAAGAAACCTATACAAATTCAAGAAAAACAAACCCAAGTAGAAAAAAATGCCTTTGTCTAATTATATTTAACATTCATAAATAAGAGAAAGAATATCTCTGGGTTTTCTTAATAACCAAAATAATTGAGGTAGTTTTATTTACCAAAGATTTATCTTAGTTATGAGCACTTTGATTCTTAAAATTATTGGAATTATTTTAGTGCAGCACATTTATAATATTATAAGTTAAATTTCCTTATTATCTGGGAACTTAGGAATATTATGTTTATAAGAACTTACCTCTCTAAGTCAATCAGAACAGAAAAACTTTAGTTTCCAGAGACAATGTAATTGTTTTTGGTGTTTTGTTTTGTTTTGTTTCACTAGCAAAGGAAAATTTGTTATGGTTCTGTGATCAAGACTCTTCTCTCCAGAACCTACTAAAACTAGAGAGTAGGTGAGAGAATCTCATGTCCCACTACCCCAGCACTTCCATCACATTCAGATTCAGATGGAAAGGAGCCAGGATATGGGGACAGTCTGGGTCCAGAGCACATGACAAGGAAGGCCAGCTCTGCATGATGATCTTGTAGGCATATAGTTTATGTAGCCTCCAGAGATAGGAAAATAATTCACACTCAACATAGCAAGATAAACAGATGGTTTGCTATAAAACCAAATTCCCCATCAAATGCCACGAATGACCATGCACAGAAATAAAAACAGAATCAAAGAGGACAAAAATGGAGAACCCTAAAGGTAATATAGCTCAAGTTTTATTCCTTCGTGGCATTCATTTCAAGAACCAAGGAAAGGTTTCCCCAGGTTTAAGGCACACAAAAAGTGTACTGTTCCGACAAGGAGATCTACCCTTAAAAAAAGGACAATAACCTACCAAGTAATGATATTATATGTTCATGTGATTTTGGTTTATTATCTAGCTCCTACTTAGATGTACTTTCTGTGGGAGCAGGAACATTGTCTCCTTTGTTCAAGGTTATATCCTCCTGTACCTAGTTTGGTCATCAGCATATACCAGAAGGTGCTCAGCAAATATTTATTGAATGACTGAATGAGTAAGTAAGGAAAAAAGAGATAAAGAAATATTTGTCTTAAGTAAATTAACTTCAGTAATACAAGGTGTTTCTTTTCCTTTCAATCTAATTTATTTTATTTTCTAAAGTTTTGAAAATATATTAGAATATTTGAAAATAAAGTGATTATTTTTCATATTTGCAGGACTATCTCAAGCAGGTGCTGGACATTGATCTTCATGCTCAGATCCATTTTGGCAGGGTTTTTATGAAACCAGGGTATGCAAATAATCTTATTATCGCATATATGGGGTTGACTTGGCTTGCTTTGACTAATAGCTTATTTATTAGTAATTTATAATTTATTGTAGAATTATTTTTTTTAAAGATTTATTTATTTATACAAGCACTGGGTACAGTCAGAAGCGTGGGAGGGTGAGAGAATTCACCAGAGCCAGAGCAGGGAACAGAACAGGCAGACTGATGAAATACACTGCTGAGGGGAGCAGTGGGCATGGCAGGAGAGGTCTGTCTCTCCATGTGGGACCCTTGCTGGCAGCCAGGGATCGAACAGGCACTGCAGAGGCTGCGGGCAGCTTCACAGCCTAGTGCTCAACTACTGCGCCACCAGAGAAGGTCCAGAATTATTTATTCTAATAAAATAAAACATTATATATAGTAATAAAAATCTTTTCAGAAATGTAACTTCTATTTGAAATGGGAATTCATTTTCCTTATGAATCACTGGGTTTGCTATAACCAAACCAAAGCAACTTTTTAATTGAATGCTCTATTCTCAGAATTTACAGATTACAGATTATGTAAAATAATTGAACAACAAAAAATAAACAAAGCAAAGCAAACCTTTCCAAACCTTTTTCCCTTTACTACCCATGTCTACTTCTTTCTTTCTCCTTTTCTCTCCATACTGCTTCTTTCTCTCTCTTTAAAAATATTTTAGGGCCTCCCCAGTGGCGTAGCAGGTTGAATGCAGTGCTGTGAAGCTGTCCACAGCCTCTGCGGCATCGGTTTGATTCCCGGCTGGCCAGGGAGCTACCCACATGGCACAGCAGACCTCTCCTGCCTCGCCCGCTGCTCCCCTCAGCAGTGTATTTCAGTCTTTCTGCCTGTTCTGCTCCCTACTTTGTCTCTGGTGAATTCTCTCACCCTCCCGCACCTCTGGCCTGTACCCCAGTGCTTGTATAAATAAATTTTTTAAAAAATTTTAGTATGAAAATTCTTACCCACACACATAAGTGGGGAGAACAATGAAACTTCCATGTACTCATCTCCCAACTTCAGTAACTATCAACATTCTCCTGTAATTCTTTTATCAGTCCCCTTCTTACCTTCTTGGAAGGACAGAAGCCTAGATTGTTTTAAAGCAAATTCTAGACATCATGTCATTTTTGTATATATCACAAATAATAACAACAGCTTTCACTTATGTAATCACATTAGTATTATCTGCCTAACAAAATTAATAGGAATTCCTCCATATCATCTAGTACTATGATCATATTCAAAATTCTCCCAAATGTCAAGAAAAAGAATGTCCTGTTTTGTATTGTTTGGATTAGGATTCAAGCCATGTCCTCTTTTACTATATTTGACTGTTAAATCTTCATTAAATCTGAACATTTACTCCCACTTCTTCTTTTGTTAAGTCATTGACTTCTCCTAAGAAATGGATTTGGTTGACTGCTTCCTGTGGTGGTAATAAATTTTCCTCTCACCAATATATCTATAGACTAGGAATTAGACATAAAGGTCTGATTCACTTCAGATTTAATTTTTTTTCCTTTACAATACTTCATAATTAGTATTTCACAGTGCTTCTTACTGACTCCCACAAGGAAAGAAAAATAACCACATGCCAACATCTTGCACATCACCTATGGAAGAACTGATGGAAATTCTGTAATCAGTTATAAATCCTTAAATAATGACAAATATTGGTGTGCTGAACATGTGCGGCCATATCTTTAAGCAGTAGTTTACATGTTCAGATCCCTGTTACCCTATACACTTTTGATACCCCCATTCAAAGGAGCATTCCAGCATGCCTCCATCTTGTCAGGGCCAACAGAAATAATACTTTAATTCAGAATTATATTCTGATGCCTGCTCATAAGAACCCTAAGAGAAAATGGCCATGAGATTTACCAGTTGTTACAAGTAAGATATGGGAACTATCTGCAAATTTCAGAAACCTTTTTTTTCAGTGTGAGGCAGCTCTCCTAATATCCCTGATCTATCAGGTACCTTGTGTCAGTTCTTGATAGACATCAGGCTTTTACTGCCATGATTTTACCACTTAAGTATGAAGGTGTGATCAATCCCAGAGGCTTTCTCCACAATTTGATAGAATTTATATTTTCTGGTATTTCTGAAGTTGCCCCTAGGCTCTTTGATTACTGAAACTGTTGAATTGGAATTATTCTTCTTTAGAACAATTTTATCTTAAGCAAATATGCTGTGGATACACAGGCTTTTTCCCCCATTCCTATGGCAGTGCTAATTTGATTAGAATAGAGAACATCTGCAAAGTGTGTCAATGTGCTACTCACACATTATTTTCAATCTATTGTTTACTTAACACTTCAACTTCAATTCATCAGTTCCAAATGTTTTTTGCCATTACATTTTGATCGCAACAGAATTGAATAATGGTGTTGAGTTCAAAGGAAATATCTTTTCATTTAAACCATTTAAACAAAAACTTCACAGCCTAGCAAAAGGACACTCGTGACAACAATGCATGATTTTAAAATAAAAATATTTTGTTGTGATAGAATATTTTAAAATGAAGGCCTCCCTGGTGGTGCAGTGGTTTGAGTACAGCACTGTGAAGCTGTCTGCAGCCTCTCAGGTTTGATTCCCAGCTGGCCAGGGAGATACCCACATGGCACAGCAGACCTCTCCTGTCTCACCCGCTGCTCCCCTCAGCAGTGTATGTCAGTGGATCTGCCTGTTCTGCTCCCCGATCTGTCTCTGGTGAATTCTCTCACCCTCCCGCACCTCTGGCATGTACCCCAGTTCTTGTATAAATAAATTTAAAAAAAAAAAAAGAATCCTTTAAAATGATTCACTTTAGGAAAATCATACTATCTGCCTATAAGATGCAGAAGATAAATTAGCTTAAAATACAGTATAAGGAAGTTATTACCCATCCCCTCCTCACTCTTACTGTGAGTTTTTGTTTTAATGAAGTGGTTTAAAATCAATTAAATTCCTTTAATTGACCATAATTTCACACTTGTCTAAAGTCAAGAAAAATTTGGATGTAATTGCAATTTAATAGTAAAACAAAAAATATAAAAAAATCAAGAACAATTTAGCTTTGCCCTTCCAACATACAGTGCATTCTGAAAACAATTAAACTTTCATTTTAGACACAGAGATACTGAAAAAAAGTGCACTTGAAGTATTATCAACCAGATCTACTAATCTCCCACAATTTTTATGGGTCATCTATAGTCAACATAGCTGTCAATGAAAATGTATCTTGAGGGCCTCCCCGGTGGCGCAGCGGTTCAGCGCTGGGTTGCAAGGCTGCCCTCAGCCTCTGCAGCGCCGGTTTGATCCCCGGCCACTGGGTGAGGGTCCCACATGGCGTGCAGACCTCTCCTGCCACCAGCTGCTCCCCTCAGCAATGTACTTCGCCCATCTGCCTGTTCTGCTCCCTGCTCTGGCTCTGGTGAATTCTCTCACCCTCCCGCACTTCTGATTGTACCCAATGCTTGTATAAATAAATAAATAAATCTTTAAAAAAAAAAAAAAAATGTATCTTGAAAATTATTTTTATCACACAGTACCAATCATTACTAAATAACTTATCAATAAATTGCTATGACAGTCTAATGTCATTTTTCTAAAATAGCAAAGAATCAGCAGTAAGCAAAAGAGACCTCAGAGGAGACAAAAAATAGGTATTACAGAGTCCATATGCTAATACTTTATAGCATAATGAGTGCCTTATCCAATTTTGAGCCATAAAGTTAGAAAAACCTTAGTTCAAATTTTTGTTTCCCCATTAAATAACTGAGTGGATTTGGTCAAATTGCTTACTCTCTCTGAGTTTCAGTTTCCCCATCTATAAAATGGGATTATAATTGTCACCTCACAGGATTGTTGTGACAATTAAGTGAAATAATTGAGTATAGTACAAAATAGTGGCTTTTATTATTATTATTATTATTATTATCATTCTAACCATATAAATGTTACTTCTACTTTCTAGTTCTCAAACCTAAAGCCACTTTGGCAGCCCATTATTTAGGGAAGCCACTGGGGTGGCGGGGGGACAGGGAAAACAATAGAAACAAGAACTACAGAAAAACAGCAGTGTGTTTTGTGGGATCATGAATTATAAGTAAAAGCAATACATAATACCTATCTGACCCAACATCACTGCATTACTAGCAAAGTACAATAAATTAATAATAGCTGTGAATCATCAAAAAAAAGTTAATATTTTATCATATTATTGCAAAGAGTAATGAATGAGTGATCCATTTTTGGAAGACCAATCTGTAAAAATAAAAACTATATGGGTGCTTAAAGGGGTATTTTTCAACTCTATGAAAACTTTAGTATTCCCTAAGGATTTTGCATCACTCAAGTTTCAATAATGAAATGAAATTTTGAGCTGAATTTCTATATAAGCGGCCATCAATAGAAAAAATATTGCTTTCTTTTTTGTTTTAACTGAGATAAAGTTGGTTTACATTGTTATTGGAATTTTGGAAACTTAAGATCCCCCCAACCTCAGGTGTAGTCACCATAGTGCTTCCTCCACCAAGGTGCGCCTACTCCACCACCATAGTCCATTGTGTTCCCGCCCCACCTGTTTTTATTTGTCCTCCCTCTTCCTCTCCTTGTCGTCCTCCCTCTCTGCATGCCCATTCCTCTCATGACACTCATGCTTACCCCTTTCTGCACCCATCCATCATAAGGATTCATGTCGGAATCCTCAGGAGGTATAATTTGAAGATATTTTTTAGTTATAATCACTTTAATTTTGTATTAGCCATGATATTTTATTTATTTTGACATTCCTGAAAACTCCACTTATAAAAGAGAGGCTTTTATGTTTATTGCTGAGTATAGTTTTAAAGAATTGAGAACTACTCATCTTGTTCATTCAATAGGCATTTATCTGATAGACGTATTATCAGGTAATTTTCTGATAATGGGAATGATTGTTATAAATCTCCAGCAAAAATAGTATGGACCTTATTAACTGGAGAGAGAAAGAAACTCCAGGATTTGCAATACACATCTATAACACTGGCAGGAAGGAGTATCATAGCTACAGAAAACCAGTTAGTTTGGTTATTTCAAAACAGAAGACACCAAAAACAAACACTTGAAACTCTTGAAACACTTCTGGGTATAAAAGATTAAAGCAGAGTCAACAGAGAAGTCGGGGTTGGTTTGTTTGTTTGTTTGCTTTAACGATAAGTTATCTGTATGGAGAGCCACATAAAAAAACTGGACTACTTAATTTACTTATTGTATTACTTAGCAGTCACTAACAAATAACCTCTTTTTTCTCTAGCCTACCAACAACATTTGCAACTTTGGATATTGATGGTGTAAGAAAAATAATCTTTGCACTACCAGGTAAGAATAATTGAAATAGTTTCTTTTGTTTTGCTCTTAAAAAATGACCCAAATCTTTTTTTTTTTAAGATTTATTTATATATGCATACAAGAACTAGGGTACGGGCCACAGGCGTGGAGGGTGAGAGGATTCACCGGAGACAGAGTGGGAAACAAAACAAGCAGATTGACTGAAATACATTGCTGAGGGGAGCAGCGGGCGAGTTAGGAGAGGTGTGCTGCGCCATGTGGGTAGCTCCCTGGCTGGGGATCAAACTCATGCTACAGTGGCTACAGATAGCTTCATAGGTTGTCTTAACCCCTTGCACCACCAGGGAGGCCCGACCCAAATCTTTTTAAACCCCACATGATAAGTCCCTTATCAGAATATCTGGTTTGGAATCTGAAAGACTTGGGCTCAAATCCCAGCTTTACTTACTGTATGACCTTGAACAAATCACTTATCCTCTCTTTTGCTGTTTCTTCATCTATAAGTGTGACTAATATCTACTTCATTGGGTTGGTGGGAAAACCAAACTCTAAGATGATAACTGAATATTAGCTGTCATTAGATCTTTCTGGTGTACTTTACCTTATAGGAAGTTAGTCTGAGTTAGCAGTCCAGTCACCTCCCACTGCTAGAATTATTATACTCAAAGAGCCTGGAATCACCCATGCAAATAGTAGAACAAAAAATACAAAACTGCCTTTTTTCCTTGCCAGATTCAGACTGGTTGGGGGAAACAGAGGGGAAAGTAGGTAATTTTGGTGGCTATATAAATCTGGTGGATTTGGGGTGTTTATCTGCTTTTTGTATTAAATAAATTCAAAAGAGTTATGAAGAAAGGCAGGCAGAGGGCCTCCCTGGTGGCGCAGCCGGTTGAGCACAGCGCTGTGAAGCTGTCCGTAGCCTCTGCAGTGCCCGTTCAATTCCCGGCCTGCCAGGGAGATTCCCACATGGCATGGCAGACCTCTCCTGCCCACTGTGTATTTCGGTCCTTCTGCCCTCAGCAGTGTATTTCACTCCTTCTGCCTGTTCTGCTCCCTGCTTATCTCTGGTGAATTCTCTCACCCTCCTGTGCCTCTGGCCTGTACCCCAGTGCTTGTATAAATAAATAAATCTTAAGAAAAAAAATTTAAGAAAGGCAGGTAGAGTAATTTAGAACTTCAAGAACATTTTTGAAAATCTGATCTATAAACATGAGATTTTTATCATATAGGAAAATTTTAAGAGAAAGGACATGTAAGTAAAGTAGTCCTCAAAATGTATCTTTAGGGCCTTTAGTATATCCTTGGATACTCAAAAAAAACGTAAAGAAGCGTGATCCTCTTCTTAGCTTTATTTTGCCTAAAAGAGACAGTTTATTTTGTATACAGGAGGTGTGCCTTGATCTAAAGACATAGTGATGATTTAACAAAGATTGTTACAACTGGAGCCTATTTCACCATTATAAAGTACTGTTGATCTGCCAAAGAAGTTAAAATTAAATAACCTGTATTCAAATTGATACTGACGTTTTCTCTGCTCTGCCTGAATGAACCAAAAGAGGGCAGCAACAACTCACATGTTCAGATTGTGAGTCACAAAGTGTTTCCTTTCACAAGAATTTTAAAATTTAAATTGTATTTCTACCTTCCTGAGGGATATGCATTTAAAACCATTACTAATTTTGATTTACTTTAACACAGTTTAAAAGTTTTGGGTAGCTACTTGCTCTTTTTTTTGTTTTGTTTTTTTAAATTGCTGTAATAACACTTTGGAAAAATACAAATAAACTTTAAGAAATGTTACCCATATTCCACCTCTCCATGGAAATAACCACTGCTTGTAATTTTCTGATAACATCCTCCTAATACTTTTTCTTATGTAGAGCAATTCACTTTTTATGGGGTAATTTTATAAAGCAATCGGAATTCTATAACTTTTTAACAATAGCTTGGGCAAAGTAATCAATTCTCATTACAGTTTGCTGTCCTGTTGAACAACTCATTTTTTTTTAATTGAAGTGATTAGTACTTCTCATCACTTTTTACAACTTAAAAAAAATCTATTCTTAGCTACTTTTGTGGATAGAAGAAATTAAAGGTATGATTTTAACTAATAATAGGTTGAAAGTGCTGCGAACGGTTCGACACTAATAATAGGTTGAAGGAACCATTACCTTTCACTTTGATGATGTAATTAGCAGCATGTAGCAAGGTATTATCAAGATTAATAATGCCTTTGTATTTATGGCTCTCAGGAATGTAGAAATAAATGGTCTTAAACAACTTCTGGGCATCAGAAGTCTCTGCATTTACTGATAGACTCAAATGTTTATACTTTCTGTAGCATTTGGTTGACTATAGCTTTATTCTGACATCCTTTTGGATTCAAAGTAATTTACATCTTTTATTGCTTCCATCTATATGATACCTGAAGGTATAGACAGACATAATTATTTGGCAGATTTCTATGAGTGTACAATAAATCACTGCTTCATTGACTTTCAGGGAATCCTGTGTCAGCTGTGGTTACCTGCAATCTCTTTGTTGTGCCTGCACTGAGAAAAATGCAAGGCATCTTGGATCCTCGACCAACTATCATCAAAGCCAGGGTAATATTTTCTAATAACCAACAACCAAAATTGAAGCCAAATAACAAGGATATACTTTCCTAACTTCCCAAAGGAAACACTTGGAGTTTTATGTGTTAGCATTGAGGGGAAATGCAGTTATATTCTCCCCTTCAAGTTGAAGGGGAAAGCATGACTATTATTCCCCTCCCACATTTATTCTGTAATTTCTAAAGTGAATAATTTTCTTCATCTAAAAGTCTATATGGGAATAGATATGTTTTGACAAAATGGTTAATAGAATGTGCCTTAAAACCAAACCTATATGGAATTAGGAACCAGAATTATCTTTCCTTGATGTAAACTCACAGAGAATAGTTGACCTGCTTGCTTTCCCTGTGACCTTACTGATAAATTTTTAGCCATTCAGATAAAGACAAAAGACTAGAAAGAGGTTCTAGTGGATCAGAAGGAAGGGTGACTTTGTTATTTTTTAGATAAGGATTACTAAGCCTGAGGAATTATACTTATGGTAAAAGTCACTTAGAAATTAAACTCCCCTTCTCCACCAGGACTTTCAATTTTATTTACTACTTTCAACTTATTGTGTAAAACAAATGTCTATAAAACTAATGAATAATTTTCTTCACAATATAAACTGTAATAGCAAAGCATTATTTTTCCTTATTTAAGATTTTATTAAGATATAACTGATACACAAAAAATGTATGCATTTAATGTATATATTTTGATGAGTTTGGACATATACATACACCCATGATGCTATTACCACAATTAAGGCACTAAACATAGCCATCACTTCCAAAGTTTTCCTTGTATTCTCTTGTGGTTTGTTTTGTTTGTTTCATGGTAAAAACATATAATATGAGAACTCTTAACATCTCCTCTTAACATATTTTAAATACTGCATTAACTGTAGGTACTATGTTGTACAGCAGACCTCTGGAATTTTTCCATCTTGCAAAACAGAAACTAGATACCTATTGAGCAACAATACCTCATTTCCTCCTCTTCCCAGTCCCTGGCAACCACCATTCTATTCTCTACTTCTATGAGTTTATTTTAGATACCTAACAAAAGTGAATCATGCAGTATTTGTCTTTCTGTGACTAGTTTGTTTCATTTAGCATAATGTACTCTAGGTTTGTCCTTGTCACAAGTGATAGGATGTCTTTCCTTTTTAAGACTGAATAGCATACAGCATTTTTCTTTGTCCAGTCATTTGTTGATGAACATGTGGGGTTTTTTTTTCATCTCTTATTATTGTGAATAATGCTACATTGAACATGGGGACGCAGATATCTCTTTGAGATCCTTGTTTCAATTCTTTTGGACATATACCCAGAAGGAGGGTTGCTAGATTATATGATAGTTCTATTTTTAATTTTTGAAGAACCTCAGAATTTCTGAGGGAACGCCATACTAGCTGAATCATTCAACGTAAGGGTTCCAGTTTCTCTCTATAGTCGCCAATATTTGTCATTATTCATTTATTTATTTATTTTTGGTTCATGGCCAACAGATGTGAGGTGATACCTTACTATGGTTTTGATCTATATTTCTCTGATGATTGCTGATGCTTAGAATGCTTTCATATACTTTATGGCTATTTGAATGTAGTCAAATATAGCATGAATTTGAATGACCACTACAGTATTTACCAGATTATAACCCTTAACATATGTAGTGATTTCCCTTTCTAATTTTGCCTCTTCTTAAATCCTGTTTCTAGGTCTAATCATGTCAGCATCTCCAGTTGAAGTCCCCCAATGCTTTTCTTGGCCCCAGTGTTAAATACAAAATACCCAAGTAGAGAACCCTTCAACACAAGTTCTGTTTTCCTTTCCAGTTTCAAATGTCTTCCCATCTTACATTCTGACTATACCAACCTGTTTACTATTTCTAGAATGAACATGAGATCCCCTGCCTATGCCTGTGATTACTCTTTTTCCTAGAAGTTTCTCCCCCAACCATCATCATCTCCTTGGAAAATTCCTTAATAATAACACTCAGGCATCACATTTCATGTGAAGCCTTTCTCACTGTTTCTAAGAAGGTTTAATTATTTATGGCTTCATGTCCCCTTACATCACATAAACATCCCTGTGTTAATATTCTTACATTGTATTGGCAATGGCAATTACTTACTTTAAGAATTGTTTGTGGTAATTTCTCTACAAGATAAGCAGGGCAAAGAGGAAGGATAAAATATTTCTTCCATTTTTAAATTAATTTTATTTTTAGAACACATTTAGGTTCACAGCAAAATGAAGTGGAAAATACAGAAGTTCCTGTATGTCTCTTGTCCTCATACATGTACCTCTCCCCCACTATTGACACCCTGCATCAAAATGCTACATTTGTTACAATTGATGAACCTACATTTTCAATATACATTATTATCACCCTAAGTTGATAGTTTGCAGTGGGGTTCGCTCTTAGTTTTATACATTCTGTGGGTCTTGACAAATGTATAATCACATGTATCTATCATTGTAATGTCATACAGAACAGTTTCACTACCCTGCTCACTGCCTGTTCATCCCTCCCTCTCTGCTAACCCTTGATCTTTTTGCTGTCTCCATAATTTTACCTTTTCCAGAATGTCAGTGTGTAACTGGCAGTGTACAGAATGTAGTCTTTTCAGATTGGCTTCTTTCACTTAGTATGCATTTAAGTTTCCTTCATGCTTTGTTTCCTTATTTGATGGCTTATTTCTTTTTAGTGCTTACTAATATTTTATTGTCTGAATGTACCACTGTTTATTTATCCATTCACCTATTGAAGGACGTCTTGGTTGCTTCTAAGTTTCGACAACTGAATATGCTGTTATAAACATCCATGTGCAGATTTTCGTGGGGGTGTAAGTTTTCAGTTCACTTGAATAAATACGGTAGGAGTATATTTAAATTTAGAAGAAATTACCAAACTATCTTCCAAAGAGGCTATTCCCACCAGCAATAAGAGTTCCTGTTCTTCTGCATTCTCACCATGATTTGCTATGGCCAGTGTTTTAGATATTGACCTTTCTGCTAGATGTGATATCTCATTGTTTTTAACTTTCTATTCCCACCTGACATATGTCATCAAGTACCTTTTCATATGCTTACTTGTCATCTGTATATTTTCTTTGGAGAGGAATCTGTTAAAGTCTATGGACCATTTTTAGTAGGGTTGTTTATTTTCTTATTGTTTAATTGATAAGAATTCTTTGTATATTTTGTATAACAGGTCTATACTCTGAAAAGCCCAAACTCTGGCTTTTCTTCTCATTGTGTTGACCTTTTTTCCTAACTCTCTCCCTTGGATATTTAAATGCAGAACATGTATTTGGTATATACTACTGTACTAGTGATATAATTTTATCTTTTAAGTGACTGCTATGTGTAAGGAAATATTTAAAGGAAACAAATATTTTAAGGAAAATAATTAAAGGAAATAGGCTTACTCCATTGTCCACTGCCGAGTTTTGAATATAGAATATATCAGAAGTGAAACATCAACCATTTGCAACGCTTTTTCACAAAAAAGTGCCTATATTTACTCATGATATATTCGTTATTCTTGCAATCCCTTAAAGCTCTTAGAAAACAGGTGCTTTCTTAAGCTAAGTGATATAGTATTCCAGAACTATAATGTCAGTACAACTAAATACACTGGTTAACACAGTATTCCTCATTTCAGTAAAATGCCATAAAATCTAATCTGTTTCATCTCTTGCTGTTTGTGAGACTATGAAAAACTTTCATTCACTTCAGCTTGACACAACTGATTCTTATTTCCTAGATTAACACAAATATGTTCCTGTAAAACAGTCGCATTTCCTATGTGAACAAACAGGTATAGGAAAACAAAATAGCTTGTTAATATAGCACACCAGTTAACAATAAAGCTGGAAGTAGAACCTAAGTGTCAGGTATCATTCCATTCCAGTGTTTATTCCACTGTTCTAGCCGTGCCTTTGCCTGAGCGAAAAAATCTTGCTTGAACACATTGCAATTAACACAGCCATGTGAGAAGCTCTTATAGTTTAGTTTTGGAGGGGAAACATACATGTAGAGATTGAGAGAATTTTTGTCCCTAGGCAAGCACAAAATAATTTCGAAGTAAATCCTCCCAGTAGATTTGAAATAGAGTCAAGCATAAGCAGTATCAAATGAAAGACTTGAGAGTGATTTAATCAAGGAAAAAATGTACTCAAACTGCATTTTATTCTGGATTCCAGAGGGAAAGCATGGGTTATCAGAATGACTATTTAGAATGCTTGAAAATATAGTAATTAGAATGAATTGGCAATAATCTTACTTAAATCAAAAATTCCAGGATATTCACATTTTACTCATATCATCTGATGTGAGCAATATCTGTTTTTGTTGAATAGTGATTTCTAGGCCATTTTACGGTAGAATAACTTAAATGATTATTGTGCTAATAGAAAATGTAATTTCCCTGTATACTGGAACAAGTTTTGTTTTCTACCAACATTAAATTCACCTTTTATGGGCTATAATCTGTAATTATACACTATATAAAATTGTGAAAGAATATCTCATAGGCACTGAATTTTTATCAGACTTCAGGATGAATTTTTTTGACATAGATTTAGAACAAAACCAGTGGATCCAGGTTGAAGGTTGATTTAGTCATTCTGTGACATGTATGTCAACTGAAGTTGCTATGTTAGAAAATATTTTGTACTTTTTAAAAAGATATGAAAGCTGCCATTCCATAGCAAAGACTCATTCAGAGGAATTCTTTTAATACCAGTGATATAACTAAAGCAAAATGGTATAACTTTTAGTAGAGACTATTCTTATTTGCTTTAATGAAATTATATGTCAGTTTTGTAACACTAGAAGAAAGTAACTAGACTTTTTTATGTTGAAGATAGGTTAAAGAACGGGTAGCTGAATAGCACGTCAGTATTTACTGGGTAGATGAGTTTATGGGTGGACAGATAGACATACAAATAAATAGATATTGATCTTATTTGTTTAGGTCTGCCTTCTTTATTTTCAGTGTTGACAAAACTTTAATTCATAGGTCATAAGTATCTGTCCTTACAATCCATTAAATTAGATATTAGAATAAACCCTATCTTTTCCCCCCTCTCCCCTCATTGGAAGCACCAACTTGTTTGGTGCTTTTTCTTTTTCCACTCAAGCAATACAACCTATGGACTTCCAGCATTAGGATTATAAGGTGACAGTAGTGGAAAAAACAGAACGCCAAAATATTTTCCGTGCCCATTTTATTCTTTGCACAACATCCACCACCTTGTAGTTATAAGAAGTGATCAAATTTGTTTTCTTTAACTTTTTATTCTGTAGTTATCATGTGATGTAAAACTGGATCCTCGCCCAGAATACCATCGGTGTATACTGACTTGGCATCACCAAGAACCACTGCCTTGGGCACAAAGTACAGGTTAGTCATTCACATGTGTAGGTATCTCAGTTCACCCATCCTGTTAAACACAAATTTATATAGATCCTCTTTCCTTGCATCTTTTTTTTTAAAGATTTATTTATTTATGCATACAACACCTGGGGTACAGGCCCAAGACAGAATGGGGAACAGAACAGGCAGATTGACTGAAATGCACTGCTGAGGGGAGCAGGGGGCGAGATAGGAGAGGTCTGCCTCGCCATATGGGTTTCTCCCTGGCTGGCCTGGGGATCGAACTCATGCTGCAGAGGCTGCAGATTACTTCATAATGTGGTACTTAACCCCTTGCGCCACCAGAGAGGCCCCTTGGATCTTTTTGAAAGATTAGATGAATTATATTATTCCTGTTCAATTTGGCACAAAGGGACAGTAAGTAAAATATTTTCAATGAAGGATGAATTATTCCACAGAGCCATATTTTCTAGATAAACATCTTAAATACAAATCTAGAATTACAGAAGAGTTTTATCTCTTTGTTCAGCCAGTAAGTTCTGAGCATAAGTTTGGTTATAGGAAAAAGAGGGGACTATGACTATACTACCATGAAATGTGTGATTACAACCCAATTATAATGTGATTCTCTGTAGCTTCTACTGTACTATAAATATTGGTAAATTTTAAGAAATGAAAATCAATATTGATCATTCAGATTTCTATAATTACCTTCTCTGTACTTTAAACTTATATCCCCAACTCCTCTAGTTATATTTTACCTAACTTTTAATAAGACTCCAGAAAAATTGTGTAATCCTTTAAATAAAGGTCATTTCAAATTAAAATATCAGCTAACACAGTGACTAAGTACACAAACTTTGCCATTCATTCAAATTGGCCACCAACTATTTAGTAGGACTGCAGTCAAGTTACCTAATCCCTTTGAGTCTTATGTGACTGAATAAGATAGTTAAGTAAAACACCTCCTATCTTGTCTGGTACTTAATAAACACTAAAGAAATGGTAGCTGCTGCTATGTAGATTATCAGTATTATTTAATGTGTTTTTAAAGCCTCTCTCTTCAGGTACACATACGTTTCAGTGTGAACCAAGAAATTCTATGGCATTTTATATAATGCTACACAATCCTGGTTTTATTCTTTTAAACAATAATTTCTAATGTTTCTTTTCAAAGATTAATAAGAATATAGTAGGATGCAGTTATATCGCCACCCAAAAAAGGTACAAGGAAGTCTGGTCACTTCTCTTCCTCTTGAAGACTTGTGTTTCTGTCCATCAATTCTTATTTTAAAAAGAACGGCAAAGGCTCCAAATGTATTCATTGTGCTGCTTACGCTGCTGTAATGAGTATTTCTCCCTAGGTAATCAGATGAGCAGCCGTCTGATGAGCATGCGCAGCGCCAACGGATTGTTGATGCTACCTCCAAAGACAGAGCAGTATGTAGAGCTCCACAAGGGCGAGGTGGTAGATGTCATGGTCATTGGACGGCTATGATGATCGCCAGCAGCAGAAAGCTTTGATGCATGTCCACATATCATTGACTGTATCCTGTAATATGCAACGGCACAGCTAGTTTTTCTGATTTGGATAAAAGTTGATCTGTATAGTCAACATCTTGAACTATATTTCAAAAGAATTTAAATACCTTTTAAAGAAAAAAACACCTAAAAATAAATCTTAACAGACAACTCTATTCTGATTATATCAAAGCAAATTTTTCCTTTCTTGCAAATTGCTTTGTGTGTTCAATGCTAGGTCTGATAGCGATAGCTTTTAGTAGACAGCAGTAGGTGCCTGCAGAACTTGTGTTTTTCTCATCTTTAAAATACAACTACTTATGCTCTTAAATCAAGGCTGTCTGCTTATTTATACTAGCGTAGGCAACACTTGGATTTCCCTTCTTAGTATGCTTCATAACTGCTTTACAGAGAGCTTTTGCTTGTTCTTTATCATGTATCTCGTGTTTATGTGCACAGTGCCAACAGAAGAGTGACTGGGTGGAGGCCCTGCCCTGCCTCAAGGAAAACCTTCCCCAGCAGAGCATCTGGGGAGGTTTCTCACCCCAGAATCCTCATGGCACAGTACTCTTGGGCAGTAACTGGATACCTTTTATTTGAACAAACTGGGGGGGAAATGCTTCCTTAAGTGCTGACAGCCTTTTTAACCAATACATTTAAAATTGTACAGAACAAAAAATAAAATCAAAGACTGATCTTGTACAGATATTAGTGTTACCAGCATTCATGTGGAAATCAAGAGCAAAGAAAAAAATGTTAAACAACTCTGTACCATAACATTTTCTGTAATGATACTGAAACTTAATGAATAAAAAAAATCCTTGATCATTATTTAAAATCCATTGTGTTGGACTTGTTATTAAAAATGAAGATTGTCATAACATTCTGATTGATTTAGTGATAGAAAATTTAAGATGTAGCATAATATTTATTTACATATTTATGACTATTCTTTCTATTCATTACTGGAAAATAGCTAGCAGATTTACAGTAAAGATGCTTGATTATTTAACTAAAGAGCCAAATTCTTATTTGAGATACCATGAAGACAAATTTCATCCATCTATATAGTTCTTTGAAATGAAAGAGGGAGAAAATAAGGAATGAAGCAGGAAGTTGCAGATTAGTACATGGACATTTTTTGAGCATTTAGAAAAGAAATAAGAAATGGGAAAAATCTGTGCTGGCCAAAGAAAATATAACAAATGAAATATACTTAATCTACAATGACTCCTTTAATAAAAATGTAGGGACATCTTTCAAATTATGGTAACAGAGAAGATTACATACATTTAGAGCATACTTAGTAAAGCGAACAACAGAAATTGGCCTGCCTGTAAACATGGTACCAAGTGATAAATAAAGCCAAGTAATAAACAACAAGTATTTCATACTGATGTGTGATATGAAATTGAAAATAAAATGTTATTTTCAATGCTAGAATTGAAAATAAAATGTTCTATATTTTAAATTTCTTTTATATTCACAATTAAAGAAGATATATAAGATGTTATGTGCTTTTCAGGGATGAAAAGATGGTTCAGCATGCACAAATTTATCAATGCATCTCATCAAATCAACAAAACCATATGATCATCTCAATAGATGCAGAAAAAGCATTTAATAAATTTCAGCATCGCTTTATGATAAAAACTCTCAATAAAATGGGTATACCTCAAGATAATAAAAGCCATATTTGACAAAACCACATCCAACATCATATGCAATGGGGAAAAACTGAGACTTCTTCTAAGATAAGGAGGAAGACAAGGATGCCCACTCCCACCACTGTTATTTAACATATTATTAAACATCCTGACTAGAGCAATTTTGCAAGAAATAAAAAGTATCTCGATTGGAAGGAAGAAGTAAAATAGTCACAAAACACAGATTATGTGATATACAGAGGAAACCCTAAAGAATCCAACAAAAACCATGAGAAGCAATAAATGAATACAGCAAAGTTGCAGGCTATAAAATGAATATACAAAAATATAGTGTGTTTCTATATGCAAACAATGAACCAGCAGAACTTGAAAAATGATGAAAACAGTATCAATCATGGTCTCACTAAAAATAAATTTAACCAAGGAAGTGAAGGATCTGTACTCTGAAAACTAGAAAACACTGCTGAAAGAAATTGAAGAAGAAATGGAAATACATTCCATGCTCCTGAATTGGAAAAATCAATAGAGTCAAAATGGCCATTCTACCTACAGCAATATACAAACATAGTGCAAACCCTGTTAAGATTCCAATGGCATTCTTCACATAAATGGCACAAAAAAATCCTATAATTTGTATCAAGCTACAAAAAAAATCTCAAATAGCTAAAACAATTCTGTGAATAAAGGACAAAAATGGTCATGTTCTCTGACTGCAAACTATACTACAAAAGTACAATCAACAGTACAGTAGGGGAATAGAAACAGGCACACAGGTCAATGAAATAGTTAGAGAACTCAAATAAAACCACACATATGTGGATAACTAATATGTGACAAAGAAGCCAAGAGCATACGAGAAAGGAAAGTCTTTTCAATAAATGGTGCTGGGAAAGCTGGACAACCACATGGAAAAGAATGAAACTATGCCATTGTTTCATACCAGATACTAAAATCAACTCAAAAGGGATTAAGGACTTGAATATAAGACACAAAACCATAAAATACAAGAAAACATAGGTAAAAATCTCCTTGACATTAGTCTTAGTGATGTCTTTGTGAATTTGTTTAACATCAGTAAGAGAAACAAAAGAACATAGAAAGGGAACTACATCAAACTAAGAAGCTTCTGCATAGTAAAAGAAACCATTACAATGAAAAGGCAGTCTACTGAATGAAAGATATTTGTAGATAATTTATCAGACAAGGGGTTAATATCCAAAATATGTAAACAAATTCGTACAATCAACAACAAAAACTATGCAACTTGATTAAAAAATGGACAGAGAATCTAAATAAACATTTCAGTAAAAATATACAGATGGCCAATAGACACATACACACAAAAAGATGCTGTATATCAAAACCACGTGAGATTTCACCACTAAAGGTTAGTATGACTATTACAAAAAAGTCAAGAAATAATAAATTGGTGAGGATGTGAAGAAAAAGGAACCTACATCCTCATCAATTATAGGAATATAAATTGATGCAGTCATTATGGAAAACAATACAGAGTTTCCTTAAAAAATTTAAAAATAGAACTACCATATAGCCTAGTGATCCCACTTCTGGATATTTACCCATTGATTATGAAACATTAACTTGGAAAAAATGCAACCCTATGTTCACCGCAGCACTATTCACAATAGCCAAGATGTTAAAACAACTCAAGTGCCTACCACTAGAGGAATGGATAAAGAAGATGTGGTATATATACACAGTGGAATGCTACTCAGCCATTAAAAAGGTGGTATCTGAGCCATTTGAAACAACATGGGTGGAACTTGGATTATACTAAATGAAATAAGTCAGAAGGAGAAAGATGAATACCTCATGATTTTACTCACTTGTGGAATATAAAGAAAACAAAATCACTCTTTAACTCTGACAACAAAATCTTGGTTTCCAGAGTTGAAGAATCAGGAAGGGAGCAGATAGAAGGGGCCAGTTGGTTGATGGTGGATGGTGACATTTGGAGGCAGGCATTTTAAGAAAATGTAAGCTTGGAACCTATACAGAGTTGTAAGCTAATGTTACCTCAATTTAAAAAAAAAAAAAGTTAAGATTTAATTTAATGTTTCTAATATATTACTTGGCAGGTTAGCCCGGTTGGCTAGAGCATAATGCTATAATGCTGACAATTTAATGGTTCTACTTGGCATGGTAGAATTCAGTGCTATGTAATGTATTTGTTTTTATTTTACCAAAGTTATTTTGACTTAAACACATATGATGTATGAAGTAAGATCTGTGACATGTAAGACATGTCAAATATATATAGATATATTATAATTTTTGAACAGATATATATATAAATATTTGAGGTAAGAATTCTTTGTCTTAGTAATTAATGTTTTCATATTTTTGCTTATAATTGTATGACAGTTAAGCAGATCATTTTTTATATTTATATATATTTTACATCATTCTTCTTTTTTGTACAATGTATGCTTTCTCCTCTCATGTGTAGTCCTGTATAATTCCCACCACCAATTCACCCATGCACCATCATCATAGTCCCTTGTGCCTTTTTCCTCCCCTGTTTTGATCCCTCTCTCTCCCCCTTTTCTGCAGTCTCTGATTTATAGTTGCCTGTTAATTTTGTTTTTTAATTTATTATTTTTTTCTTAATCCTTTATTTGGTTCCCCTACATTCCTCCTATAAGTGAAACCATCTGATATTTTTCTTTTTTTTTCTGGCTTGTGTTATTCAGCATAACCCCTTCAGTTCCATCCATGTTACTGCAAATGGCATGAATTCCTTTTTTGAATGCTGAGTAATATTCCATGGTGTATATGTACCACATCTTCTTGATCCAGTCATTATTTTTGGGTATTTGGGTTGTTTCCAGATCTTACCTATTGTAAATAGTGCTGCAATAAACATGGGGGTGCAGGTATCCTTTGGAATTAATGTTTTTGTGTCCTTTGGGTGGATTCCTGGGAGTAGAATTGCTGGGTCATATAGAAGCTCCATTTTTAGTAATTTGAGGAACCTCCACACAGCTTTCCATAGTGGTTGGACCAATTTGCATTCCCACCAGCAGTGTAGGGGAGTTCTTTTTTCTCCACATCCTCGCCAACATTTGTTGTTTCCCGTTTTTATAATATGAGTCATTCTCACTGGTGTAAGATGGTATCCCATTGTGGTTTTGATTTGCAATTCCCTGATTACAAGTGATGTTGAACATGTTTTCATATACCTGTTGATCATTTGCATTTCCTCTTTGGAGAAGTGTCTTTTTAGCTCTTCTAAGCAGATCCTTTTAAACCTGTTTTATTTTGTAGGTTTTTGGTTCTGTGTCCCGATTGTTCAAACCATGTCACGCAATGAAAAATAATAAAATCAACAGATTAAGTTTACTAAGTAAATGTTATTAGGTGATGGTGCATGTTACACATGGATTCTCTGGTTGTTTTTCTTTTTCTTTTTTTTTAATTATTTGCTGATTGACTAACCTACAACCAACTCTTGATCTTCATGAAACCCTAAAAGGTAAGTCATTATCATTCCCAGTTATAAAAAGTGGGGATTTATCTAAGTACAGAATTCAAAGCAAACTGACTATACATCGTGTTATTCCAATGATGTACTGCATTCTAACATGCTTATAAGAAGTAATAATTTTGACTATAATATAATTCATTGTCACAGAGTTCATCAATAATTTGGCCTGGGACCAAAGGTTAAAGAATTGTTCAATTCTGACCATTTTGTGTGGTTATTTACCAATATTCTACCTGAAGTCTTTTGTAATAATAATTTATTTAACAAGCATTTACTAAATTCATACATTATGCCAGTTTCCACATTACACATGAAGGATACAGTGATGAATAAGACAAAGATGCTGACATCAGAAAGGAGAAGAAAGATGGTGAGAAAGTAAAAAAAAATAAATTTTTGAACATATTATAAAGTCTATGAAGCATCCAATGATATATTAGAGCTTTCATTGCTGGAGGCCCAAATTATATTCGATTGTTTTATCAGGACCTAGTAACTTAAAAAGACAGAAATCACGCTAAGAGACTTGAATGTTGGAATAAGCTAAGTACATCTTGGAAGCCTAGAAAAACATGAAGGAAATGTTGAGGATATCAGAGACAATAACCATAAAAAGCAACTATTGGGGGGTTAGTAGGGTGTTTGGAGGTGCAGGGTGCTAGTGAGATAGGAAGGAAAGGTTAGAGTGATCAGAATTCTGGAATTCAGAGATCCAATCCTTTGGAGTTAGGATTCAACCCTCTTAAGGAGAGGGCACTGCCCAGCAGCAGATTCTAAGACTTCAAAAAAAAAAAAAAAACCTAGGAGGGCAGAGTCAGTTGCTATTGCCAGAGTGACACTGAAAGAAATACAAAACAGACTAACAGAATCAATAGCAGTCACTTCTGCCCTCCTTCTGCTTCCCAACTTCCTGGTAGTTTAATGCAACCTGTTGCAAAACCTAAGAGGGAGCTGATTGTTGAAAAGAAATGTAGTTTGCAGACTTGCAGCTACAGCACCACAAGGCAGAATGCAATAGTATATTTAAAGCTAAGAGAAAATCATTCATGAAGTAATTGAGAAATTGTTCTCTCAACAGGTGACATTTGAGCTCGCATCTGAAGAATGAAAATAAGCACCATGTGTTAAATATTGAAAGCAGAGATTTCAGACAGAGGAAAGGGCATCACAAATATAACATCAGAAAGGAGACAGAAGTATGATGGGGTGGGGGAGGTGTTAGTGGGCCAGAGATGTGGTTGGAGAGAGCTGAAGCCAGGCAAGATGGAGCCAGAAAGTGCCCACAAGAGCCTTCTTGGATATAACATTAAATATACACATACTGTACTGTAATATATGTTAAATATTCTAAGACTATTGGGAAGCCACTGAAGGTTTTTTTCTTTGTTTTTTTAAAGGGATTATTTACTGAGTACCTCTTAAATACAGGGCACCATGCTAGATAAGGGTTTCTGAATAAGGAATTCATTCTCTCTACCTCCCACACCTCTTCCTCCGCCTGTATTTTCTTTCCTACTTACTGGCACCACCGTTAAGCCAGTTTCCCAAACCACAAATCTATGAATCATTCTTTCTTCTCCCTCCCCATCCAGTTAGTCACCAAATTCTGTCAAGTTTACTAATATGTCTTCTCTTTTCTATTTCCACTGCTACTGCCTTGGTCTCTGTCCCTCCAGAATTTCCCTCCCCAAATCCAACATTCACTCTGCTACCAGAGTGATCAGTTCAGAACACAAACCTTCCCTTTTAACTCTGTGGAAAAACTACAGCAGCATATGAGATCCAAGTCCTCAGTTAGAGCATTCAAACCCTCTAGATCTACCTCCTCCCTCCTCTAATTTCATTATTTCCCCTCCATCTTTATGTAACACCAGACTATTTGCAGTCACCCTTCACACCATGTCATTATATGCCTCAGTTTCTTTGTTCAAGCTAATCTTTCAAGATTTAGCTTGGGGATCAACTCTTCCAGGAAACCTTCCTTAATTCCCCCAAATTGGACTAAGTACCCTTCATCTGTACCTCCAGTTATCACTGCACCTTTCTAGGATAATCTGCTTACATGATGCCTCCTCCTCTTGATGGTAAGTTCCTTAAGGGTGGAGATTGTTAACCTTTATAGCCCCAGCATGGCCAGGTGCCCAGTAAATAGTAAATGACTCATTACTAAACTAACAGAATTAACCTTGTATATCACTTATTGGGGAGCCAGACACTGAATCTGGCTAGAAAATTTCATATCCCAAACTTAGGACATCCAGCAGTCAAGATCCCCAGGCAGCCAGGAACAAGTGGGCAAATTTCATGAGGGACAAGGACAGAGTCATGGACTTTGTTTCAGTAAAGTGCCTCAAATTCTGATTTGTGATGTCATTTTTCCAAATGAAGTTATGTATATGGTTTTATATTCTGTGCACATTTAAAAGTATTAATATTTTAAAGGTAAATATTTAAAATAAATGATTTTTGTTTCTCTTTTTCATTATTCCTTTACTTTTTAATATCCCAATAGCCTAAAAAAATGGAAGTGAGATAATACCAGAGTTTCATCATCAAGGTATGTCAAAACTAAATAATATCAACATGGAGGAAATGGGATCAGATTTATATAAAATATTTCCTGGCCCTGAGACAGGAGAAACAGGAAAATGACAAGTGGTGATCATGCAATAAATAAGCTGAATGAAGAAATCGGTGACTAGAAATCTGGTATTTATGACTAGAAGAAGAATTTGAACCACCAAGAGCACTCAGGAGAGAAGCCCAGAAAGGGAGTGTCTGAGGCAAAGATAACAGGACACCCTTTGAGCCTGCACATGGAGCCAAAGGCCAGTGCCTGCAGACAACCAGTTACACAGAGAGCTGGCACCAGAGCCTGATGCCATTAAACAGTCAATTTACACAGCTGGACCTCAACTCTGCTTCTGGGAAAACTGCCTGATATACATTCTATGCATGTGGATGCCATGGTATCCCTGACCACACCTAGTCTCAAATGGGAAATAACATTTCTTTTTTTTTTTTTTTTTAAGATTTATTTATTTATTTATTTGTTTGTTTGTTTATTTTTTTATACAGGCACTGGGCACAGTCAGAAGCACGGGAGGGTGAGCGAACTCACCAGAGCCAGAGTGGGGAGCAGAGCAGGCAGAAGGACCGAAGCACACTGCTGAGGGGAGCAGCGGGCGGCAGGAGAGGTCTGCGCGCCATGTGGGACCCTCGTCCGGTGGCCGGGGAGCAGCCAGGGATCGAACCAGCACTGCAGATGCCGCGGACAGCCTCATAACCCAGCGCTCAACCGCTGCGCCACCGGGGAGGCCCGGAAATAACATTTCTTAAGGAAACAGAAACACTATCATCTTCTCCAAAACTCAGAGAGTTCATGTATGAGCTGAGAGACTAGATATTCTGAGGCACACCTGTCAAAAGCAAGTGTTTGGGTCTTGTATATGGTAACCCAAATAAGGTAAACTCACCAAGGTAATGACCCCACCCCAAACCTGGGTGGCCAGCTAGAGACCCACTCATGAGCCATTACTGAATGCCTACAAGAGATGTATCCAGAATACACCAGAAGCTACAGGTATGAAGATCAAGAGGTCTCTGCCTTCTAAGAATATTGCTTGTTTAGCTCATAATGACGTAAATATGTTTAAATCTCTGAAAATTGAAATAAAGGGAGATTTAATGATATACTAAAGTGCTTACAACTTTTTCATAGGATATCTTTTTCTTGGTTGGTCTACTCCTAAAATTGACTTTCCTCTGAAAACTTCACACCACAACCAGAACTACCACACCTGAGCCATGTGGGCTCCTCAGGAGCGCTGGCAACCCTTAATCCCCTTCAGAGTTGCTCCTTCCCACTTCTCTTACTTCAGAGACTATGTCAGCACATTATGATGCAGGGTCAGTAGAACAATGCCCAGAGCAGCCTGGCATCCTGTGCTTCTTTTACTAAGTGGTTAGTTGCCTGCCCAGAAGATATCAACACCTTCTGCCAAAGAAATGTGAAAAGAGTTGGACACGTGCTATTTGGAGACTATTCTCCTAGTAGACATCCAGGAGATCTCCAGGGATCTGTTTCAGCCTCACATATTTGTAAGTGACTGTCTGGTAACTGCAATGTTGGTATGAACCCGAGAGACAGAAAAAAATGGATATTTCGATGAATTCTATTAATTGAAGGGTGTCTATTTTCTTTCTAGCTTCTTCTTTTTCCTTTGAATTTCATTTCTTATACTAGAGCAAGCAGGAAGTTCAGAGACTTACTATCTGGTTACCAAATTTCTTTATCTCAAAAATAATTTCATTTAGAGTTTAACTTTGAAATGAAGAGAAGCATTTCAAATTCTTTTAAAATTTTTATTTTTCAACTGTTACCGCAATTTTCTTCTGTGAATGACTGAGAATTGAATGAATTTGTGTAAAGACCATCATTTGTCATTATTTAAATGGCAAGAAGATCCAAAAGTTAGGGCTTTTCTACTCAAAGCTGAAAGGATAACAGAAGGCACCATTGTCAAGGGAAGGGCTACAACAGTCAGGCTTCTCAAAGGTGCAACCAGAATTGCAACACAAAATTGCAACCTAGAATTGCAATGGATCAATTCGAAAAATGGGTTTCTGTGTTAAGAATCTTAGAAAACATTAGCCAAGTAAATGCTATGCTTCAAAGTGCTACAAAGAACTAACCTCAAAGCACCAAGTGTCAGAACAGCTTTAACAAGTGACAAGTAAACACCATCATTAAGAGCTTTCATGTAATTAACGTTGGCTCCCCAACTCCCTCTCCCTCCCACACCCAATTTCCATTCAAATACCAGGTGTCTTGGTTCCAGAATCCCAATGACTGTATTTCTTTCTGAGAAAATAAAGACATCCCATCACGACCACAGAGTGAATGTACCTCATATCCATACTATTCTTAACCCTAATGGGGCCTCAGTTATCCTTAAAACAACCCAGATGGGGACGTCCTCTTGGCATCATGGAAAGACTAGAGCAAAGCTGAAACATTTCTACCCTGAAATCTATATAGAACATTTCTTCTCTGTACTTGCATTCCACATTAAACCACTGGCATTGGTTTCCAGTCTGTAATCATTTTTAAAGGAATCACTCTACCTTTCTTTTACTAAAAGAAGCCCAGAATGCTTTTTCCAAATGAAAATTGTACTGCAATTATGAGGAAAAATGCATCCTAATGTAACTATCTACTGAATTAATCTCCACTGAATTGGAGCTGAAAAAAAGAAAAAAAGAGGATTGAGAAGGGGGAGAAGCACTAATTTTTAAAAAAATATATAAAGAATTAGCTAGTGGTAAGTGGGGATCTCAAATAATTAGATTCCTTTATGGTCTCCTTGTTCTGCATGCGGTTAAAGCCTGTCAAATTGCTCTGTATCTTTCTTGCTTAATTAAAAGTGAGGGCCTATATTAATGGTAAAACAAACCAGGATTGTGAAAATGAATATGCAATACTGGTAGAACAAATTATAAAAAAAGTTTCTGTGTGCAAAATGAAGTTTTGTCTTCCCATGATAAACTACAGCATCTCTGCTTTTCTTCTCTGGTTTTAATTCACACTTCATTTAACATATATTATACTTTTATATTATACATTCATGGTCCCATAATATGAGTAATCTATTTTTAATATGAAAAGTTACTTTTTATTTATGAGTTCTACATTATAGACCTCTACTGCATATATAATGATAATAAAGCAAGGTAGTATGAATTTTCATATAGAATTTATATAAATTAAGACTTGCTTTATTTAAAAATATCACATAGAATGTACAAATGTTCCATTTATTAATAACATTATTGCAAATTTCACTTGCAATAACCTTCCTCCCCTAATATCATATCATAAAGGTCATGGTCATGTCATTTTTTGACATACAATGATCACAAGGACATATATGCACTATTCATGTTATTATCTCCATGTATCTATGGATAAGAATAAAAATGTCCCAAAGTTATATCATGGTAATGTCCAAATATATAACAGAGACTTAGAAGTGGAGACTAGTGTGGAACACTCCGTTAAGAAATGCACAAACCCTGCAAATATACTAGAATCATTGAACTGTGCCCTTTAAATGAGTAAGGTGATAGTACATAAATGAAATCTAATTAAAGCTATACTAAAAACTGGTCCATGTGTAAAATTATTAGGAAAGCCAAGTTATCAATAAAAGTCCAGCCCGCACAAATTAGAATTGTTTTGAATCATCACAATTAATAGCAGTATCTCAGTATAAGTGTTGTTCACTGGGTAGAGGAATGGGTGCTGTGAGTTGTCTAGCTGCTCTTCTACAATCCCCCCAACAAGGTAGCAGAGCAGAGCACAAAGTTCCTATCAGAGTGCCTTGAATCACCTACTGCTTTTTAAGAGAAGATCATTTCTCAAACATCAATTTAACCACTGGGCACAATTCATTTTGGTACGTCTCACCAGAGATTGTGACGTTCCAAACAATGCCACACCCTGACTGGTAACTGCTGTTTTTAAAAGTATTTACTGTTATAGGAAAATTTTATATAATGTGTACACATATTTATGTAAAACTAGAGAGATCAAACTTTATATACCTTTTGTACACCAAAAATTTAATACAGTCTCCAAATAAATAGTTCATATATCGTAAATAGTTCACTTAACAACTGATCCTGCTCTTAGACCACTGACAAAATGCATGGTGGTGAGTGTGCAGCCAAAATTGGTTTCACAGAGCAATTCATATGTCTTAAGAACAGTGCAGTCTTAATTAACCAGGATAAGTGGAAAGGCTGGTATAGGGCGATGAGGTTGTGGTGCACAGATTGACCATCTCAAATAACAGTAGCAACATAACTAGTTAACATTCAAGCATTTACTATCTATGTACATAATTCAAAAGTGTAGAAATAATCCCAGATTTAGTAACAAAAAAAAATCACATCAAAGAAGATAATAAAGATTCATTTTCTGCTTCTTAGCTGAACTCTCCTTTGTTACAGAATTCAAAGCGGACAAGAAAGGCAAGGCCCGGGCATGGCTCCAAATGCACGGAAGCCCTGCCCTTCCTCCCATTTCCCCCTCTCCAGGCGACCTCTCCATGCTCTGTAAACCCTAAATCCACAACTATATCTGCTCCCCTGGGAGACCATCTGCTGATGGCTTTCTGGAGGCACTGGGCTTGTAACCAAGCAATTCTAGAGGTCATATAAATGTCTGTGCTAAAAATGGGCATTCCCTAGTCCAGTGGTCACGGGACATCTATACATTAGCATCCACCAGTAAACACTAGACATACCCTCTGGAATGTGAGTGTTGTCCATTTCTCAGAGTGTTGTTTTTTTTTTTAATGATGCAAGAGTTGACTATTGCGTTTCACCAAATCTAAGATCCATCAACTATTAAGATAGGCCATTAAAGGACTATGGGGAGCAAGGCGGGGATCCTGCTGGTTAGATAGTCAATGCTTTCTTAGAGTTTTTCCACATATTATCTGTTATCATCTGTGCTGTCATCCTTGTGCATTTCTTAAAGGAGTGTTCCACGCTAGTCTCTACTTCCAAGTCTCTGACATGTATTTGGCAAGTTTCATACTGGAAATTTTTAAATGGCATCAACAAATGATTTTCAGGTACCCATGAGGGACACATTTTAAATGGCAATTAAATGCAATACCTGTAGTATTATCAATGTATATAATTTAATAGGAACAATTATATGATGTTCATGCCTGTGACAATCATGTTGTGGTTGCCCAATAGCAGAGAGTGATCACAAGGCATGTTCCACCTCCAGAGTTGTTAAACTGAGGAAAAATATATTTCTTAGCATGAATATAATTTGGGAAATTGTTATCAAGCTAGCAGGGATCAAGAGGGAACCTAGCCCGGCAAATGCTGGGTAGATTATACTTTTCGACTCAAGGCGATGTGATAAGGCTGATACAGGTACTGTTTAGGTGCTCACTGCTAGACCACCATGGTGCTCACTGCTTTCTGTGCATCACTGTGTTTGAACATCCAACACTGCATTGGGGTGCGTTATCTCATCCACTTTTTATACATGAGGATAATGAGCTCACAGATGTGAAGTAAGCAGGTTTGCAAAGTGTAAATATGAACTGAGATGTGTCTGACTACAGAATTCACTATATTCCCCCATACCAGTTTCCACACTGTTTATAGCACTTGAATTCAGATAGTGATTATGGTTGTGTTCCCCCTGGTTCAGGTATTCCTGAAAGGTCATTTAAGTCAGAGTTTTACGGAGAGGAAAAATGCTTGTCACAATGACTGTAACCACAACTTAGTATGAAATACTAGAGAGTTGTATAGGCTGCTCCGATTTTTTTATAAGAATATTACATATAAAGCTTCTTACAACCTTCCATTACTTTCTTGTTGCATTATCAAATATCCTCAAAGGCTAGAGAACCCAGGATTTCACTGGTTGGTAGTTTCAGGCCAACTATGAGCTATGGACTCGAAACTGTCTGGTTCCACTCAACAAAAGACCATGATTATGATCCTTGATAACTGCTCATCCCAAATGCTGACAGCAGCCCCCAGCCCCCGCCCCGCCACTTCACCCAGCTAATTTAGTTAAACTCTTCCTAAAGCCTTGAAACCACATACAAAATAAGAGTAAAGATTAGTGACATTTTCTTCTTTTGTATACACTTCCTCTGTTTTTGTTTCTTTCACGAAAGACTGCATCATGAAAAGGAGGAAGCCCTACTGAAGTGAATTAAAGCTTTGTCTTCATGCAAGGACTGTGGCTTGGCCCTGAGTTAAGGTAAGAAGTGATGAACCATAGAGAAGAGACTGTGTACTGAGTCATCATACTCTCTCCTTCCATTTTCCTCTCTCTCTTCCTTTCTCTCTCACTTCCTACTCTAATTACTTCTCTTTCCAAGCTTTCCTTTTTTCTTCTTCCCCTTTTATGGGAATTCAGTGTACCAAAGTTGTTGCTCTGAGATCTTAAGAGGGGACATGTGAACTAATATGAGTGTGTCTGAGCTGGGAGGGACAACAGTTTAAGAAATCATGGCTGTTCTGGAAAATGAAAGGTGAGCCCTGCTGTGACACCCTAATCCAGATGGCTGCTGATCTTTGTTTGTAGGAAATCAGGCAGAAGTGGTCTCTGCATCTCAATGCCCTTGCTAGGACAACAATGAAACATGTTCATTAGTTAGCTTTAGCTTGAGCTGGTGGAAAAAAGAATCTCTGAAGAAAGGCTGAGGTAGAAATACAGAGAGGAGCTGCTGCTTGCAGTTAAAGACTTCTTTTAACTGGCATTGAGGTTCTGGAAAGGGTGATATTTTGAACATATGAATGGAATTACATCCTGAGGCCTTGTTCCCTTCTTGGAATTTTATCATTTCTGGTGGATGAAAGGTGAAATCTAATGATGTAGAGCCACTGTTTTTTGAAGTAGTTTTGGAAAGTCCAAGCAAGAGAGCAGGAGATGAACAACTGTCATAGATCAGATAATCTACTACTCCACCAACCAAGCATTGAGCTTCAATCTTTGGTGAATGATCAGGAGATGTTTCAGTTTAGTATAGTTTTGATACCTACTTACAAAAAGAACTTGAGAGCTCTCCATGACAGAAAAGGTAATGATGCCCTTAATTAAGAAAACAGAAAATAATAGTTTGGAAGAAGAAGGACATTTGAGGAGAGACCTCCTGAGAGGACTTTCCTAATCATCCTAATTAATTAGAATTGCCAGTCTCACTATCCAGGCCTTTTTCATTAGCTAGAGTCTTTGTAACTTTCATCTCCCAACATCTTTATTTTTTTTTACTTGCTTACTGTCTCCCCAAGGAGAATAAGCTGTATGAGGGCAGGAAACTCATCGGTTCTCTTCAGATGTATATTCAGATCCCAGTGCAGTGCCCAGCATATCATAGATGTTGATAGAATTTGCTGGATTCTAATTGCTAATTAATGAATACATAAACTATTCAGAGTTTTAGATAGTACCCTATAGACCAGGCAACTGAATTTTTTTTTTAAATTTTTTCTATATCTGCTCATTGTACCGCCACTCCTTCTGTTTCCTGATGTTGGTATATAAGCACAATGAAGAAGAATGACAGGAAGTCTACCACTAGGACCAGTGAGGAAGACGCCACCTGTGACCGACACACCCTCAGTGCAGGGGATCTTCAAAATATGTTGGGTGAAGGAGAGTATGCACCTTTTGTGTCTCCTCCTATGTTAGAGAGCAATTTTATTCAGGTAAATAAATAAGAATTTGAACCTTGAATTATATGCTAATAATTTAAGTAGTTACTTTTCTCAAAAAACAACTGAAAATTTGGGGACAGTTGTCTTAAATACGGCAAGGGAATGTGTGATATAATCTAAAGGAAAAATTTTAGACCTTCAAACAATGTTAAAATAATTAGTGTTAAAGGTAAACTCATTTCAAATTTTCCCAACAAACTCTTCCCTAAGAGTTCTGTCCTAACTCTACCATAATTATCATAGTATCATAATCTTCCAAAAATTATATTAAGAGCTTGTAGTGATTTTTAGAACATCCTGTCATAGGAAATCATTCAGATTAACTCCTTTCTTAGTCTTAGAAAACATTTAAGTAATAACATCAACAACACAGGTAGGACTTAAAATGAATTTTGGCTCTTAGCTCTGAAGGTACAATTGTCAAATTGTGCCAGGGAGAAAGTTTCCTTCTCATAAAAATGAACCTATATTATGAATGAAACATTTCAATGCATTTAGGAGCAGGTCAGACTTTCCTCTTAAACATTCAAACAAAAAATGGGGAGATAAGTTCGATGATGTTGGCCATAGCCCTAAACTTCATAGAAATGCCCCAACTACATCTAACATTGAACATACACACTCAAGCAGGTCCTCAGCTGATTCCATGAAGGACTGACAAGGAAGACAACAGACACATCTTCATTTTTCATAAACATGTTCTATACATTGATGCCTAGGGAGTTCTAGGGAGTTCTTACCTCAGAACACCATTGGCAAGAGGTGATGACTTGAGGAACACTCATGTTTAAGTCACATCCTAGAGCACAGGTGATCAGACATGATTTGTTATCTACTTCACCTTCTACATTTTTCTTCCTACTAATAATATTTTCATTTTATTTTTCACGTTTATTCCTGTACCTTTTCAAATAACTTTTTTTCATGTGCCAGTGAATACTGGGGGAGGTAACTAGTACCCTATAGACCAGACATGACTCCCTATCATAATTGGTTAAGTCACTCCTTTCAAGATGTACAAGCTCTCTTGATTAGTGTCTTTGGCAACAAGTTGCCAAGATTCCTGACTCATAAGTTAAACAAACAAACAAAACCAGCAATTATCTCAAATAGAGTGAAAAGGCCACATGATATCAGCTTACCAGTGATGAGTCATTAAAGACCCAGGTTCTCTCTGCTCTGTCACCCTCAAGCTTTCTCACCTCAGGACATCACATGCTAACAGGACAGTGACAATAGCCAGCAATAGAGAGATGCAGCTCATCCTTCCAATTCTTTGTGAGGGCAGAGAAACCTTTCCCAGAGTCACCAAGAGGCCTCCACTATGTCCCACTAGCCAGGCTGGGTCACATGTCCCTGCTGAAAGCAATCACTGGCAAGGGGCTGGGAGGAGGCAGGATCATTGTGATTAATAAGGATTTGACCTTTGTAAGGGGGATACACCATCCTTGAGGGATGGATATGGGACAGAGTAAGAATTCAGTTAGTAAGGAAGAACAGGGACAGAGTTTTAGATAGAAAATCAATAGTGGAAGCTACAAATTCTGAGTGTCTTTGTTTTTACATGATTTTATTTGAACCAGTTATTGCACAGCTGAGAAACCAAGTTTTACCCCTCTCTGACTTCCTTCATATCCCTGTCTCCACAATTTTCAGTTTCTCCACTTCCAACTAGCCAAGATTCTTAGACTTTGGAGTTTTGCACTTACTGTCCTCTGCCTGGAAAACTCTCCTGTCCACCCAACCACTATATCTCCCACATTATTTAGGCCTTAGCTAGAGGACCTTCCCCGGGGGAGACTTCCCTGACCCTATGTCTAAAATGTACTGCAGCTGGCAAATTGGTAGATGTACAGGAAGTTTGCAAGTTTGTTGTTAAAAAGCTATTATTAAAAATGAAATTGTATAAACTTAGTCAACAAATGATATTTAAAACAAGGTCAAAAATATTTGAAACTCATCAATCCTATTATTTTACTGCATTTTATCATTTCTATATACTCTTGAGATTATAGACACAAGAGTTTGGCAAGCACATCCAACAAGGAACTAATATCCAAGATTAATAAATAGCTCATACAACAATAAAAAATATAAAGAACCCAATCAAAAACGGGCAGAAGAATTGGCACTTCTCCAAAAAAGACATCAAGAAGGACACGGGCACGTGGAAAAATATCCATCATCACATACCAGTAGGGAAATGCAAATCAAAAGCACAATGAGATACCACCTCACACCTGTGAGGCTCACATTTAAAAGGCCAAAAACAACAAATGTTGGTAAGATGGGCGTGTAAACTGGTCTGGCCCCTATGGAAAACAATATGGAAGTTCCTCAAAATACTAAAAATTAGATATACTATATGACCCAGCAATTTCACTCCTAGGTATCTACCCAAAGAATGCAAAATACTAATTTGAAGGGATATATACACTCCTGTGTTCATTGTAGCATTATTTACAATAACCAAATTATGGAAAAAATATGAATGCCTGACAACAAAGGAGTAAGTAGATTAAAAAGATGTAGCATATATACAGGATGGAATACTGAATTATAAAAAAAGAAAGAACTCTTGCCATTACCACATGGATGGAACTTGAGAGGATTATGAAATGAAATAAACCAGATGGAGAAAGACAAATACTCAACAATTTTCATTCATATGTGGAATATAGAGAAATAAAACAAAGAAACAGACAAAACCAAACTAAAATAAAGTCTAGCAATATGACTTCAGAATTAAGGCTGCTAGAGGGAAAGGGTGAATGGGGGTGAGAACAAAGCGGGGGGGAAGGGACCCAATGATCTCTGATAACTATGGGTGCTTTAGTGATGGATGTGATAGAGTGACATACATCTGACCCCTAAATTATATACAGTGCTATGAACCAATGTTACCTCAATATATTTTTTAAATAAAATTAAAATATGAGGTAAAAATTTTAATTAAAAATAAAATATATTGCAGCAAAAGGTATGAGTCAATTACATAATAAAAATCACAATACAAGGGAAAAAATTCATCACTGCTATATAGTTACAATAACCAAAAATGGAACCTTCCCAAAAGCTTATCAATAGTAGAATGGATAATATTTGAATAATGGAATAATATTCAGCAAAGAGAACTATGTGCAACACTGTGAGTAGATTTTAGAAATGCGCTATTAAAGGGATGAAGTCAAACAAGGCTCATCGGAGCACAAAAAACATGCAATTCTAGGCTATGCTGATGAAAGTCAGAATTCCATTTTCCCAGTAGGAAGAGGCAGGGAGGAGAAAGGACCCTGAGGGTGGCTTTTGGATGGTGACAATTTCTGTTTCTTAATTTGTGGGCTGGCTACACAGATGTATTCAATCTGTGAAAATCCATTAAGTGGTAGACTTTCCATATATGTACTTCAATAAAGCATTAAGACAATAAAAATGGTTGGCAAAGAGCAATGAAGACTTCTCTGAAAGTCATTTGGCTCTGATAATTTAAAATAGAGCATTCTATGGCATTATTTGTAAGTTGTGTGCTACTCATCTTTTACATCAGTAAAACTTATAATAAACGTGTATACATTCATGTGTTGATAATACATGAATGAAACTGTTGATAATATTTACCAGCACACCAATGCCTACATCCTCCTCTAAGTCCCCTGTTCTATTCCCCACAGCATCCTTAACTTAAGTTTAGAGAACCATTCTTACAGTAATAATTTTTGGCATGCTTAATTGTTGAATATTTTTCTTCCCTGGTAGACCCTCAAGGTTAGGGACTGTGGTTGCTTGTTCTCTGTGATTACTCCGAGAATTCCAATAACGAGTATGTTCATTCCTCCTTTTTTCACCTTGCCTAGGTAAGCAAGATTGTAAGGACCATAAACCTTATCAGAAAATTCCTCTTCCTGTTCTCTGCCTTAGGTCAACAGAAGAGGTGAATCCATTTACCTTCATAACCGAGCCAACTGGGTGACTGTAGGCATCTGTTCTTCCTGGCAAACCCCCCAGACCCCCAATGTCATGCTGCTGGCACATCTGAAACCCGCTGCCCCAGAAGATGCAGAATCTCTGTTTGAAAGTCTTCTGACATCTCCTTCTCCAGAGAAAGTGGTGCTCACCAGGTGAGTTACGAAGGGAAGAGGTTAAGGATCCCTCAGAAAATATGCTTTACCCTTTAAGGAGTTGAAAAGGGAGACACCAATGACAGTTGTTTGAAGGGTGCATCTCACTTGCACTCCCTGCTACAAAAGACAAAGTCATATTCTGAGAGTCTGAGAAAATAGTTTATGACAACCTGGCAATCTAGCAGGGAGTTAATTTTTAAAGAATTAAGCCTAAGTAGGAGGAAATTCTTGAAAGCACATATTAAATGCCTCTCTCCCCTCAACTCCCCAATTCCCATTAGAATTCCCTCTGGTCTTGTATCAAGTCACTAACTTGCTATAAGACCTATAGCAAATCACTCAGCTTCTCTTAAGTTGCAACTTTACAAGATTAAGTGGGACAATTCCTTATGGTAAGCAGCTGTTCCTCTGATTTTTCAGTATATCAGAGCCTTAGGAATATAATTAGGAGCCTGATGACATGTACTAAAAGTCTGTATTTTCACCAGCCCTGGGAAAATGGTGCCCCCACCCCAAAAAAAATACTACCCATACCCCAGCTGCCCTACCAAGGCTAGTCTGGGAGCCAAGCCTGTTGTCCTGAGTCTTATTCTTCAAGTTGATATAAAACATGAAAGCAAAGACCTTTCATAGGTCTCCTATCAGGCCTCCAGATGACATTTGTGTTTGTTGGCAGGTTTCTTCCTCTGCAGTTTGTGACTCTTACTGTGCATGATTTTGATAATATGCGCCTCAAAGTAAAGTTGGTGAGCGGTCGAGCCTACTACCTACAGCTCTGTGCTCCTGCCCACAAAGAAGACACCTTATTTTGTCAATGGGTGGACCTCATCTCCTTCTTGAATCAGGAGAAAGCCAAAGCTTCCAAGATATCAGGAGTCTCAAGCCTCTCAGAAATCACAAATAGTACAGACATCACAGGCTCAGTGGACATCATGGATATTGCAGCGATCACAGATATAGGGCCCTCACATCTGTACACATGCACGGAGCCCACCCATGTCATAGAAAGCACAGATTTCTCAGAATTCTCAGATGTCACTGATGTCACCGATGTCACAGATATTCCAGAAAATGAGGTCCCAGAGGTTCCAGATGTGAGAATTGTCACTGAAGTCACAGAAATCACAGACCACTGTGAGGTCAGAAACAGCTCAGGGGTCACAGTGGTATTTGACGGTGACGATATAGGAAGGGTTATGCAAGAGCAAAAGGTATGTGACATGAAAGATTTATTAATTATCTATAAATAAGAGTGATAACTAAGATCACACTGCCTAGTTAACTGTCTGACCCTGATTATTATTTGCTATGGAACTTACTAAGAGTAACCTAATTTTTGCAGTCACATTTGATTCCCAGACCCAGGTAAAAAGAAGTTGTAAGATATCTCCTGAAATAGGCTGTGACTATCCTTTTCATTAAATTCAGCCCAGTATCAGAAAGCTATGATGGAACGGAAAGAACTTTGAAATCAGTCAGAAGACCTGGATTGGAATTTTGTTCTGTTATGTATTAGTTTGGCCAAAGCACTGAATCTGCATGAACCTCAGTTTCCTCATCTCTAAAATGAGGAAATTAATATCATATAAGGGATATTTTGAGGTTTAAATGTATGCAAAAGAACGCAATAACTTGACGGATCAGTTGAAACTTTAATAAGTAAAAGTAAAGGTGAAAATAGGAAAATAAAAACCCAAAGAACTGAGTGGCTTTAGAAAAAGTCAGAAGTGGGAAAACACAGAGCCATATCCAAGAAGGATTCCTTCGGTTTGGCTAGAGCATAATATACATGTAGAATATTAGGATACAAGGTTGGAAAGTTGCTTACAAGTCTTGAATGCCAAATTAAGATGTGTGGGCTTCACTTTCTGGCAAATCTTAACCACAATAGGCCTCCAAGCAGGGGAGTGAATGAACTGTTTTTTAAAAAAATTGATCTGGGGCCTCCCCGGTGGTGCAGTGGTTGAGCGCTGGGTTGTGAAGATGCCCGCAGCCTCTGCAGCTCTGCAGCGCCGGTTCGATCCCCGGCCCTGGGCAAGGGTCCCACATGGCACGCAGACCTCTCCTGCTGGCCGCTGCTCCCTTCAGCAGTGTACTTCATCATTCTGCCTGCTCTGCTCTCCCCTCTGGCTCTGGTGAATTCTCTCACCCTCCCGCACTTCTGACTGCTTGTATAAATAGATAAATAAATCTTTAAAAAAAATTGATCTGATGATAGAATGAGTCACAGGTAAAGAGATTAGTTTGAAGACTGTTGCTAAAAAAATTCAGGGAGCCCACAACAGAAATATAGCAAGGGGAAATATGTCACAGAATAAACTGCTACAGTGGAAAAGTATAACTTCGTTAGTTATCAAAGAAATGCAGTATTAGAAAAACAATTTAACCCATGCAACTGTCAACTGAAACAATAAAAACAGTTCATACTTAAAGGTGTGGCCAATTTGGAATTCATTCAGATACATAGTAGGAATGAGAATTGGTACAAACTTTCTTGAAATCATTATGCATCAAGAACCTAAAAAAGTTTATACCTTTTAACCTGGTGATTCCACTTCTAAGAATCTTTCCTAAAGAATTCATCAGCTAAATTTTAAAAAATTCATCAGAAATGGGAATGAGGATTTAGTTATAAAGATGTTAAATCAAACCATATTTATACCAAGTTTATAAAAATAAAATAATGAAAATATGGTAGTGACTAAACTTCCACCACAGGGGATAGCTAAATGAATTTAAATACATGAAGGGCAAGTGCCCTATTTATTTGTACAGGAGCAATAGCAGTATCTGACTAGATCAGGGTCATTCAGTAAATATTTGTTAAATGAATAATTTTGTAGCTATTATGTGAAGAATTTTTCTTAGAAAAATATTCATGATAATAAAATTGGTGAAAAATGAAGGCTATGATCCCTGTTATAAAAAAAACATTTATACCCACAGAGAAAACCAAAGGGGGAAAGTCATATTATTTACAGTAGTTGTTTCTGGGTTGTGGAATTATAGGCAATTCATATTTTCTTCCTTATACCTTTCTAAATTTTTTCCTATATAAAAATAATTTTAATTAAAAAAGATTCACACAACTTTTAATGACATAAGAAAATGAATATACATGAATGGATAATAAAAAATGTAGGACATAGAAATGTGATATGGTCACAGAGCAAACACATGCAAAATAAATAAATGGATGAAAAGAGCAGGATGAAATGTGCACAGTAGTAGTTTTTCTAGCCCGTGGCATCAAGCGAGCAATATTTTTCTCCCTTTCATTTATTATCTTATAGGATTTTTTAAACATTCTGTAATAAATATGTATTACCTTTATTACCAGAAAACAAATGAAATTTTGTCTTGAAGGTAGAAAATTATTGCATTATTTTCAAGGAAACATAATAAAGAAGATGAACTTGGCAGGGGCCATGGAAGGGAGAAGGTGCAGACAGGAGGTGCCTTAGACACGGGGTCTTTAGGACTGGCTGGCCAGTGGCTCAGAGAGCGACTCTGAGGAAGACAGTAATGACTAGCGAGCTGGCATGTTAACAGAAACAGAGAAATGAGGGGAAAGAGAGATTTCAGGGAAAATCAGCACTTTGCTGTTGTTATGGACCTCCAGCTCCAGTCACCTGCTAGGTGCTGGTAAGCAAGAATAACTTCAGATTGGGGAGTAAAAAGACATTTCTAGAACACCTTCCTTTCTCTGGTAATTCAGGGAGAGGAATTATGATAATTAACCACTAATCCTCTTGAGTGAGATGTCTTTGGTGTATGTGACCTCAAAAACTTTTGCATGTACTATGTCAGACCCCTTTGCTTCCAGTCTCCATGCCCACCAGGCTCCTTGGTAATTCTGAACCACCAAACTCTCAATCCCTCATGATTGTGCCTGTCCACTCAAAGTCACTCCATAAATACGAATGAAATTATCCCTGTATACACTGTGCCATAAGTAATCTACTTCTGTGTAATACTCTTTTGTCGCCTCATTTGCTGCTGCTTATTTTTATAGGAAACACTGGAAAACAATCGGGAAACTGAGTATCTACAAGATACAGGAAATAAGGATGGGTTAAAAGAACCCTCAGAACATGTCACCATCTCAGATGTAACACTGACTTTTGAAGGTGAAAGATATTTTTATGATACATTGACTTCAGACAAAAGTGCGACAAGAACATCTGAAGAGATGAATAATACAACCTCTGCATTAAAGATAACTGATTTTAAAAACATGGCTCTTGAAGCTGAAAGATCCAGGTATGTGAGGCATGGAAATGCCACGGAAATCTAAGATGAAATAATGTGAACAGTGTATGCAACTCAGACATTTCTTGCCGAAGACTTTTAGTCATAGATAGAGTGTGTAATTAAATGATGATATAGTCAACTCTTAATTACACACACTTGATTCACTTAATTAGTTCCACCTTAGCTAATTTTTATATTTATGCCAACTTCTCATGCCAGTCAGTTGATATTCTGGCCTTTCTGCCTGGAGTCTATTCTGTGTGCTGAAGAAAATAGAATACAGTCACATTATCCACATTTTTAGAGTCAGAGTGACCATGAGTGCTTTTTCTTTTATCATTATACTTTTCTGTATATACATATACCTTAAACGTCTCTACATTTCCAACTAATCACCTAATAATCTGAAAAAACTATTCTCATAATTTTAGTAGCTTGATTGCAGGCTGAATTTGAAAGAGCACTGCAGTGTTATAAAGATAAAAGGTAATCTGATCATTCTGCAGTAATGCCTAAAAAGAACCTCAAGAAAAATCTAGAAATTTAAATGCTTATGTTAGCAAGAATAAAAAGTTTGAAAGTAATCAATCATGGCTAACTCCTTTTTAAAAATAAAAAAATGAGCAGGAGGAAAACAAAACAATAAACTTAAAGAAAAAAATAAACTTGAAAATTTTAAAACAGCTTTAAGTACTAGGAAGAGTTTAGTTGGTTCTTCTCAAAAAGGATGATAAACAAGGACACCATTGGACAGTTCTTTTTCTTTTTTAGGATGAAATTGAAAATGAAAAAAGCATTAACATTAATAGAAAGAGCAGTAAAATGTTATTGAGAAAGATTATACACAATTTTGCTTTAATAACTTAGAAACCCTAAATTATATAAATGACTTTAACAAAAATGTAAAGACAAAACTAACACAATCAGAACTTGAAAACATAGAATCACTCTATCATAGAGCTTCCATAAAGCAAACGACATAGTTGTAACTTTTACTGAACAGTTTTTCAGATACTCTAAGAATTATCTCTGTTTCATGTAATGTTTTCTTTTAAACATAGAAAAATTATGTTTGATTTCCCTAATTTTATGAAGCAAATAATTTGTCTGGCTTGTAAAACTTGACAAAGTCAAAACACGAAAAGCCTTACTCCTGCTGTTAATAAATGCTAAATCCATAGGGTTTAGCAGGCAAAATAAAGCAAGCTTAAGATAAAATTAAGGAAACTCATGATAAGTTATTATTTAGATGTGGGAGAGTGGAACTATAATATTTTAAAAACATTAAAATATGTTGGGATGATGGTACCTCCACTTTGGTAGTAATTGAAGCATAGACACATAAAGAGGTGCAAAGCAGTACTCCCCAGCAAAGGGTCAGGAAAAAGACAAAACTTGGAAGCTGACCATAGATCTGAGGCATAGATCAGGGGAGGGGGAAGTAGAGGGGTCAAAACAAGGGAAGGAAGAGCATAAGGGAGAGATAGACCACCACTTCTATGGTGGTGGGGGTACTACAGGGAGGACTCCTCAAGGGAGAAATCAAATAATGCCCAGAAATTAAATAAAAATTTTAATAATTAATAGATATTATTTCTTAAACTACAATTTTAGATTTACAGAATAATTGAGTTGATAGTAGAGTTCTACCCAACCCACGGCCACCTCCTCCCTTCTCCTGGCACCCCAGTTTATCCCTATTATTAACACATTTGTGTGGTACATTTGCTACAATTAGTGATTATTGTTGATACAGTATTAGCTGCAGTTCCTCATTCAAGTTTCACTGTTTGTTCTATGAGTTTTGTGCATTCACCATTACTTGACAGAACAGTCTTACTACCCTAAAAGTCCTTCAAACAGGTTAACTCTTAATGGTATTTTGAAATATTAAAATTGTAAGGAAAATACAATTTTAGAATGAAAATGGTTTGTGGCTTTTAAATTTTGTTAGTCTCACTATTGTGATCACCATTAGAAATGATAAGAAAATGAATCCATATATATATATATATATATATATATAGCAAAAATCATTCTTCAAAAGAAAAAAAACAACCTTAAAGGTCAGCAAAATCCAATATTCTTCAATGCCCTATACTCTACCTCCCAGCCCCCAAGCCCTGTGCCATTTATATGCTGACTCTATTGGGGGAAAAGAAACAAATAGATAAAGAAAAAACCCCACAAATTTTAGTCCTGAGTAATCCGATTAAGCTCAGTCTAATCAAGCATGGATTCCTTTTTATTGCCTATTTTCATCAGGGACATAATTACCAACTAGAGTCTAATTTTAGAATGTTAATTATGAATGAAAGATGTAATATCTAAGAACAGAATGGGATGCACTGATGCTTTATTCCTGGGACATCTGTGGGATTAAGTCAAGAACACTGTGAGATTGATAAATAAATTTCACATGCTATTCTCAAGACCAAGAATTTCAATGACATTTCAATGACGTGCTTTGGAACAATGGGAAAAAATTAAACAGTGGCCTTGTTGGTTATTTTGCCCTCAGACTCAGCAGCCTTAAAATGTAAATTAAGTAATTTAAATCTAGGTGGGCAAGCAAAAGGCAGTAGAGACTCCTGTAATGTCACTGTTGGTGCTTTAAAAAGCGTTTATATTCCTTCTCATGCCTTGACAAGAGTTCTGCTGACTCTCCCATTTTTTTTCTCCCCCCCAAAAATAACCTTTTCTTTTTCTTTATAATTTATATTTCATTTTTATAACATAATTATGCAAAATCAGGATGTATTTTAAGCCAATTAGTGGTTTTTTTTTAGTTTCCTGATGATCCCCTGAAAAAATTTATTTATTTTTTATTTTTTTATATTAATTTTTTAAATTTTTGTTTTAGAAAGGAAAATGGCAGACTTTCATTTGCACCCGTTTTTAAAGGATACTTACTCGATATTTCTCAGTCCTTTAAAAACTTTCATCATTACACTCAGCCTTCCTTTAATTTACCAGACTTATTTGGCAACGTGAGCACTTCTTTGCAAACTCCTCAGAAAATTATTAATTTTTAACCATCACTTTAGAAAGATCTACTGTCGGAATTGAACTGGATGTGTTTGCCAAATCCCTTCAAATGGATCATAAATATGTTTTTGTACATTTATCTGGGAAGATTTTATCTAAGAGCAATTATTCCTCCCAAATGCTGTATTTTTTAAAAGATTTATTTATGCATAGAACAACCGGGGTGTAGGCCAAAGGTACAGAAGTGGGGGTGGTGACAGGATTCACCAAAGACAGAGTGGGGAGCAGAACTGAAATACACTGCTGAAGGGAACAGTGGGCAAGACAGGAGAGGTCTGCTGCACCATATGTGGGTTAACTCCCTGGCCAGGGGATCCAACTCAGGCCTCAGCAGTGATAGTGTGATAGTGCTGAGACTTAACCCCTATGCCACCAGGGAGGTCCCCAAATGCTTTATTTTACTCAAATAGAAATGCTTCCAAAACATTTATTGAAAAGGTGACCAAGAAACAAAGATTTTCTGGAATGTAAATGACTTAAGTGTATGTTTAACATGCCAATGCACTTAAAATACATATTTAAATTATTGCTATTTTAAAAATCAGGAGTACCAGGGGCCTCCCCGGTGGCGCAGAGGTTGAGTGCTGGGTTGCGAAGCTGCCCGCAGCCTCTACAGTGCCGGTTCAATCCCCGGCTGCTCCCCAGCCACCGGAGGAGGGTCCCACATGGCGCGCAGACCTCTCCTGCCTCCCGCTGCTCCCCTCAGCAGTGTACTTCAGTCCTTCTGCCTGCTCTGCTCCCCGCTCTGGCTCTGGTGAATTCTCTCACCCTCCCGCGCTTCTGACTGTACCCAGTGCATGTAAACAAACAAACAAACAAATAAATAAAAATACATGCCTCTTAAAAAATATATTAAAAAAAAAATCAGGAATACCAAAAATAAGTACCTTTATTCAAAGGCATTTCTGAAAGTGAAATGGAAAAACTGCCAGCTACTCTCCTGCTTTACCCACCAAACCTTAATAAATGTAATAACTTGAACAAATCTTGGTATTCAGTAAATTCGCAAGTGCTGTCACCCCCACAGGGACATAGAGACTGTGATGAAGTAGCTAGCAGAGGTAGGCAACTTCTAACCCCAGGTTAGAAGTTAATCTGATTCCAGAATTTAATCCTTATTCTGTGCAGAAGCCTGTACTCCCCACACAGTTGACCCTGTTCATGGAAACTGGTCAGCAGCAGCTAACTTCTTTCAATCTAAATTGAAATGAGTTTACAAGGACAGGAGAGGCAGTAGCTCAGGAATTTCCAAAGTTTCATTGCATGACAGGTGATAGATACAATAAAAGTAGATTATATGTCATTACATACAATTCACTCTTACCAGTTGGACAGCTCACAGGTTATTAGAAATGCAGGTAATTATACTAAAATTTGTATTGTATCAGTAGTACCCTAGGCTTGCTAAATATGTTTCATTACTAACTATAAAGCATTTAGAGAATGACCAGTTATCTCACACCTAGTAATTCTGTTTAAAATATTTGTGGTCATGCTGGCAAAACTTTGAAATGTGTTGTTTATTTTTACAGGAACGTGAGAACTGATTCAGATAGTTCAGGTATGGAACAAATTCCATCAAATTCCTCTGTGATTCCTGGTATCCAGCAGCCACCTCTGGGTCTAGACCAGAGTAGTTAAGAGCAGAGGGCTCCAGCTAGATGGCTTGATGCATTTCATTTCCTGCCTTTGCTCTATTCTGAGTCTTCCACTGGGTAAACTTTTCCTTAAAGCCTATCCTTGTGCTATCGTTCAAGTAGTAGGCATTACTTCACTTTTTTGTGTGTTGATAGAGTTCATTTTCCTCGTTCCTTGCATCAAACCCATCGGGCATGCACCTCTGCCATGTTAGTCTGCAAGCAGAAGTCAAATAACAGGGTCTTTCCTCCTTGCTGATTTGGAAGCGTAGAGGTCCACCACTGAGTTTCTTAGTAAATCCAAAATCAACTAGACCTTCTTTGTTCCTGCTCACATTTTACCACTTTACTATCAGATGATATCATTTCATGTTTTGGGGGGCAGTTTTTTGTTACATTCCCCATGTCTCAGGATCTTTAATCTGTAAGAACAGCTTTTAATGTGAAAGTTGTAATATAGGCTCAGGTGGAGATCATCTCGGTCTAACCTGGAGGATGGAATAGAGCTCAGCTCCAGTCATGCACATAAAAAAACATTATGGAAAGAACATAGAGTCACATTTCACTGGACTTAAATGGAGAACCAAAACACTTCTACTAAAAAAGCCAATAACACTTCAAGGTACTTTAGTCCCATTTGCAAGAGTCCTACAACAGGAGCAAATAATTACAGAATTCAAGTTTATACAAACTTGAATTTGTCTTTGGACCTTCCCACTAGTCTTTAGCATCCAAGAGTACCAGATGAATTGCACTGCAATATGGTTTTACCTACATTCCAATCTATGTTATTAAACCCGAGAGCATTGTAGTACATGCTAATGTAGTTTATGAGAAAAAGTACAAATCTCCTTTGCAGTATGTAGAATTCTCATCTACCAATTTTTACTCTAAATTTTATTTCATAAAGAAATAAAACTAAATTTTCAGAAATTCCAGAGATGTCCAATAAAGGCAAGTTATTTTCTAGAGACAAAGAAAAATACAGAGGTAGCCTTATCACTAATACGTAATTATTATATTGGCATATAATTAGTGCAGTCCACATACATTTTGAAGCACTTGTTATTTAAGTCATGGAGATTTAAAATTAATGTGGGACATTGATACTTTTATCTTTATCCTATGTGTGACTGCTTCTTTCACCTGTCCTCTGGCACAAACTCAATTTTGCTTAATTAAACTAGCACTCAATGTCTATCTGTTACATACGATGCACTGTGGCAAACTCTAAGAGATTAAAAGTAAGTATACCGGTTGGTCTCACTCATAGCAGGAATTTGGAAAACCTAAATAAGAGACCAGGAAAAAGATTAATTATAATAAAGTAAAAATCAAAATCAACAAGCAACTATAAACCAGGATTAGGGTCAAAATAAGGTGGGTGGGAATTGTATGGGGAATATAACCAAGATGAAAATGCATACATTATGCAAAAATGAAAAATGATGTAAAAATATATAAAATAAAAAAAAATAAAATAAAAAGTAAGTAAATAACAAGATACAATTTCCTGGCCTCCAGACATAAACCATAATGTTAAAGATGTTTTAAGAGAAAAGTAGAGAACCTAGCTTTAGCTCAAGAGAGAAAATCATGTTGATGATTTTCTCCTTCTATGAAGGAGACATTCTTGGACTTACAAAAGGGGAAACAAGAATACCCTGAATCCAGGGGACCATGGGAGCACAAGGAGATGGAAGAGCGCTGGGCATGTGTGATTAAGAAGCAATGAGATATGCAGTGGGGGCCAGGTTATGGAGGTGTTAGGTCAAGCTCTGGCGTTTGGATAGTACTGTTGGTAGGTGAGGAGGAGACACTGAAAGACAGGGAAATGACAGAATTAATCTCTGAGATCTGACTGGAATCTCTAAGCGAAACTGGAGGAGGCTGGAAGTAGAAAGTCATTGCAATAGTCCAGTGAAGGTGCCAAAGTCTTGAGCCAGGTAAGAAGCAGTCAGATGCAAGTACAGCACAGTAAATGACCTGTGGGAACAAGAGAAAAAACAATGGAAGGTGACAGTTTGGGAAACAACATGACTAGGAAGTAGTGAGTGCATAAAACAAACCAGGCAAAGGAATCTGAGGAAATTTTGAAAGCAAACACGAGGAAAGCAGCTATTGAACACTGAACTTGGAATCAAACACCCTAGATCTGAGTTATATCTGAGTTACAAGTGTACTTCCTCTGCTCCAGTTTCCCCAACATAAAATATGTGTGCTTATGGATGGGGAGTGAGGAGAATACAATTAACTGTTTCAAGGCCCTGTCAGCTGTTATGATTTTTAAGCTGATATAGGTGGGGTCCATCTTTGTAAATTTAGCAGGCAGCTTGAAATGGGGCTCTTGAGATCAGGTGCTAATTCTGCTCTGAGCTTGTTAAATCACAAGGACAGTACAATGTACAACATTGGCATGCAGTTTTCACAAAGCATTAATTATTGTCCCTGTTTGTTTTCTTTCATGTATTTCTCATTCTTTTCGCTTTTCTCTCCTATATCTTCCCATTTTTTCCTTACTTAGACTTGTACAGTTTTTCAATTTTCCCTCTGATTAGCATTTCTTTCCCTGTTTTTACACTGCTTTGAATCACTTCTTTTTCTACTTGCATACTCTTACTCACACTTACCACTTCTTGACCCCAAGAAAAACAATGATCAATAAAATCTTAATTCCTTGTCCCATTGAATTTAGATTGAATGTAGATTCAGAATGACTCAGTAATCCTGATTTATATTCTAGGTGCAAGGCAGAATAATAACTGTGCCCCACTGCAGCAAGGAAAATCCCTGATGTTAACTTTGTCAGGTTCCCATTCACCCACCTCCTGGGCAGTTCTAGTTGGAAACTATGATCTCCAGTTCATCTCCCAAACCTCTCAGCAGTTGGAAAGAATTTCACTTTTTCTTCTTCCTGAATAAGATTTTGGGTAAAAATATTTTTATGGAAAGTCTCCAAGATAGGGCCAAGGTTAAATTTGTCTCTCAGTATTAGAGCCCATCTCTCTCCTTTCTTGACTTTCAATTTCATACCTTTTTAGATTTTATTCTTCTTAACTTTATGGGTTCTTTACAGTGAGTACAAATAGTAGATTTATCTATACTATGGTTTGTTTTTTTTTTTTTTTTTCAAAATATGAAGGCTAGAAGTTTGAGAAGAAGAGGGGAATATCCCATATGTTGGGAGTGGCCTCTCCACCCCACCCATCTTTCTTTTCCACCTTCCTCTTAACTATTACAAATCAAATTCCATGGAATCCTAAACAACCAGGTTGATTCTCTGTTTACTAAATCTGGACTAAAATGAGAAAGAAAAGAAGGATCCTAAAAGAAAACTGTTTTTGAAATTTAACAATGAGCTCCATTGGAAAAAACAAAGATATTTTTGATGAGGTAGTTAGAATATCATTTGAATTTAAGACCCAAATTAAGTTCTCTTTCCTTCTGTTCATTTTTCTTTCCTATATTTTTTCACTTTTTTTCTTTCTTCTTCATGCCCCTTCTCTCTAGTGAACACTCTTCCACTTTTCCCAACTATTTGACCTCTGACTCCCACCTCCTGATGTTAAGTCCTCTTCTAATTTCCACAATCTTGTGCCCTATCTGTTTCCCACATTCTCAGGGAAATAGATGTGAAGAAAGAAAAGTAAAAGAGAAAAAGAAAAGGCCAATGGAAAAAACAGGTAAGACAACCTGAAAGTAATTCTTTACAATTATAATACAAAGATATTTTCCTAGATAGAAAGGACAAGATATGACACGTTCACAAAAAGTCAATAAATTGAATCTTTTGATATTGGGTCTCATTCTACAGTAGTAACAACACAGGTGGAATTCAGTATTGATGATTTTGTGTGTTTTTTCCTGTACAAACCATCATGAGTCAAAATGTAGCATCAGCACAGGGATAAGAAGGAGCTTCAAATGATGTTCTAGATGAGAATTACTTGCTGCTGCTTTTACAAGTGACTCTTTCTCATTCCTGCTCTTTCTCTTTGCTTCTTCGTCATACTTTTTCTCAACCTGCCTTCTTAGTCAATGCAGACAAAGCCTCAGTCTTTCAGCCTCATTGTTAAATTTCTATAAATAAATATAGATATTTTTAGAGTGTCTGCAAGGCTGCCATGTACAGTTGTGCAGTTGTACACTGTCGTATTGGAGGCTCCTTTCACTTTGTAGTCTGACCTGCATAGCGGGATGTGGTGGGTCACCCATATTCTAGGTTTCTTTGAGACACTAACCTTTCAGTGAATTATTTAACAATGATATTTGTCTCAGCCATGCCCATCTCATCAGAGTTCTGCTGATAGAACTGAGGTGTGCACTCTTTTGTCACTCTACTACAAAGTCTGCTTAACGGGCCTCCCTGATGGCACAGCGGTTGAGGCTGGGTTGCAAAGCTGCCCACAGCCTTTGCAGTGCCGGTTAGATCCCTGGCTGCTCCCGGGCCACTGGAGGAGGGTCCCACATGGTGCGCAGACCTCTCCTGCCACCCGCTGCTCCCCTCAGCAGTGTACTTCGGTCCTTCTGACTGCTCTGCTCCCAGCTCTGGCTCTGGTGAATTCTCTCACCCTCCTGCACTTCTGAGTGTACCCAGTGTTTGTATAAATAAATAAATAAATCTTTTTAAAAAAAAAAAAAGTCTGCTTAACACTCAAGCACTTAGTTTATTAACAAAGACTCACCCAGATGCACACTGTGGGCCAGAGGTCACACACCAGAGGAAGATAGTAACAATTGTCCATGCACAATAATCCCCTGGCCTCCACATACATCCTTAGTCTGTGCCTGTTCCTTTGTCAGTTCTTTTCCCTCTTAAGTATACCCTTAATATGTCCTAAACTTATTCTAGGTGGTAGTGAACAGTGATGTGGTGGCACACAGGGTGACGTGTTGGCTCCTACATCCATGTGTGGAGAGTACTAAGCCCTGCCAACTTTCAATATATTGTAGAATTTGGAGAGATTCCTGTGACGATAACCTGATAATAAAATATTTTTACAACAATAAAATTCAAACTATTGGGGTTTCATTAGGAGATCTGCAGAAGCAAAGGACAAAATGATGATATACATACCATATTTATTTTTTTTTTTACATACCATATTTAGAGCTGACTTCTGAAATTAGAAAAGTGGCTCCCAAATATTTAAACTGTGAATTGCTGATATATGGGGAAGCAGTGATTTTTTTTTTTAATGATGAAAAAGTTTGCTACTAATAAAGACTTTATATTATTATAACTGAAATAATGTAAAAGTTATTTGGTCCCTTATTTACAATGAGCATATATTATATGCATGCAAATCTCATGTGATAGATAACATTTTAATTTAGCACAAATTAACAACTTGGAAATAATTCAATGACATATCTATAAATCTTTTTTTTTTTTTAAGATTTATTTTCACTGGGCCTCCCTGGGCCCAGTCTCAGCGCTGTCAAGCTATCAGCAGCCATGCGGTGTGAATTAGATCCCTAGCCAGGGAGCTAACTCCCATGGTGCAGCAGACCTTTCCTGTCTCACCACTGCTCCCTTCAGCAATATATTTCAGTAGATCTAACTGTTCTACTCCCCACTTTTTCTCTGATGAATCCTCTCACCGCTACCCCTGTGCTGCATCTCTGGCCTACATCCCAGTTCTTGAATGCATAAATAAATATTTTTTTAAAAAAATGAGGGGAGCAGAGGGAGAGACAGGAGAGATCTGCTGAGCCATGTGGGTTGGCTTCCTGGCCAAGGATCAAACTCATGTCACAGTGGCTGGCCATAGCTGGATAGCACTGAGATGTTGGCCCCTGTGCCACAGGGAGGCCCTGACATCTCTAAATTTTAAAGAATGAAATCCCTTTATCTTAATCTGAACATCTTTAATTGTTAGGTTCTTACATGGGTAGACAGAGCTTTTAAAAAAACAAAATTTTTACAAAATTAAGAAGTTTCTTTAAACACTTCTTCAACCTCTAAAGATAAAAAAAATGAGATTTTATCTGCCTAAAGGATTTTTACTATACTAGGTAGAAAAGTTGTATTATAAAATGTCTTTCTTATTTCAATCACTGATTTTACTTGTACTTAGATTTTTTTTTAAGATTTATCTCAACAGTAATAACTTTAAAAATAATCTGTATTTCAAATTTTGGAATTGACTACAACTTTTTTTTTTTTTGGTCAGATAAACACAAACTACTAAACTGGAAAGCAAGCACAGCTCAAGAAAGAAGGATCAATGCAAGAGATAAAGCATTGTCTTCCATGTGGCAGAAATAAAGGCTACTACTAATCATTAAGTATTTAAATCTATATCAATCTAACTTCTTAAATCTTAGTCATTATAATTATGGATGTTTATTTTAAAGGACAATGGAGAACTCAAAACTATAAGGTGTTTTAGTCACAAACTCAATGTTTATCTGAAGGTCTTTTTTCCCTTTGGCATTGTTGAACAAACTTGTTATTCTTAGTTTACTTTTTTCTTCTTTGGACATTAATACAACAATGTGTTACTAGCGTCCGGTACTGTGGGGTCCCTGAAGATGAAATTTATGTTCCTTCCATCTTTGTGTTCTAAGTGAACCTCTGACCTGAGAGTGTTTATGGCATTAATGAATGTCATTTTCAAACAGTTTTTTTAAATTCATACACTGTTTAAAATAAAAAAAAAAACTGCAGTCTCCATCCAAAAAAACAGTTTGTATTTTTAAATCCACAACTTAGTTATTTTCAGAAGGATCCACTCATTCTACAATGTGTTCAGCATGAGTTCTCAATCTTCAAAATAATCTATGAAATGTTATTACTTTCCAGTTTTACAGACGGTGACAGTGAAGTTTAGACCCTGTGGTTACTGTATTGACTGCTTCTCTCTTGGATCATTTGCTCTGGGAGAATCCAGCTGGAGAATCCCAAAAAGTTCAAACAGCAAGAAATAAAAGAAAGCCTCTAGCTAACAGCCATGTGAGGGCTTATTCTGGAAGCAAATTCTCTAATCCCAGTCACACCTTCAGAGGGCTGCTGGCCCAGCTGACATCTTAATGGTAACCTCAGGATTGCCCCTAAACCAAAGCCATCCGTTAAACTAATCTCCCAGTTTCCTGACCCATAGAAACCAAGAAATTTTATTTGTATGTAATTTTACATCATATCTCACATCCTTAATTTTATTGTTAGAAGGTTTGTCCTGGGTGTATGTTATTTATTTTTAATTTTTAAAAAAGATTTATTTATTCATGCATACAAGAGCTGGGGTACAGGCCAGATGTGTGGGAGGGTGAGAGAATTCACCAGAGACAGAGTGGGGAACAGAACAGGCAGATTGACTGAAATACACTGCTGGGTATAATTTATATGAGAACTTCTAAATGTTTTATGAAATATGTTAAGTGAGGTTTTGGAAACCTCACTTTAAAACAGCTCATTTTTCTTTATGAAAGTTAATTCAAATGTAAGAGAAAAATAGTAATTACCCTAAATAGCATAAAGGACAGGCAGCTATTAGTCTTCTAATGTTTTAGGATAGTCAGCTCTTTGCACTGTTAAACACAATCATGCTTAAAGATGTTTTTTCAAGGAATATTGTTAAATTGTAATTTTGAATAATGGTTTTGATTTCTTGGTTACCAGATAATAGACAACACCCTCAGAGTCTTTGCATACTTTCAAGAATCCTTAAACATTTGGTTGATGTATATGATGTTTACAAATTATATTTAAGTTAAAAAAAATTCACACATTAAAGGGAAAAAAACTAATTCCTAGGTGTATTCATCTTTTCTATTCTAGACTTAAAAGGAAAAAATCAGTGCATTTCATTCTTGTTACCTAATTATTCTCAGCCCTCAGTCTGCATTGAGATTCCAGGCTTGGGAGACTCTTGTTTGTTCTTCCACCTTTCTGAGTTTGCTTGAAGGGTTATCCAGGGACTATGAGGACTGAAATCGTTTTGTCCAACTACTTGATTAATCAGGCCCTGGAATCAATTTCACATGATTTAAATTTACTTGATTTAACAGTTTATATTCCCAAATACATTTTTAAAATTCTTTTTAAAAAATACTCTCAAAAAAGGGAAATGAAGAGGCATTATTTTCCCCTACAGGCATCCACTGTGGTATTTAAGATCTCTTATTTCACTCAACAATTTTTTTTTCACTTGAGGGTCAGTCTACTCTAATTCTACAGGAGTCTATTACATCAAATCTAGAACTTTTTCATGAGAAAGAAGTTTGTAAAGTCCCAGCTATCTGCTTCCACCAAGTTTTTGCAAATACCTGATTTTAACCACCTTCTGTACCTGGTCTGTAATTTCCATCAGAAACTGCCTTTCTCAGGTTGGCTTCCCCCAGCCTGTCTTAATAGGAGTACAAATACTCCCAACTGACATATCCACTAAAGGGTCACACATAATAAAACTTTACCTTATAATTTGTTGTATCTTAGAAACAAGATACTTAAGATTGTTGGAGATATGTAAATTCAGGAGTAAAAGTAAAGTGCAATTAATTAATCTATTTTGACTTTTAAAGGGGTGTTTTACTTTCTTACTCTCAGCTATAGCAATAGATAATGAATTTTACAGTAGCTAGAGTGACCCAGGAAGCATATAAAGAAAGTGGTAAAGAGCAAGTAGTTTTCTCTTCTTTTTCTCTCTGTATATGCTGCACTGTCTCCCTCTTACCACATAGAAGAAAAACAATTGTCTTTATGCAGAAATTTTTCTGAAGACAGACTAAGTCATAAACCAAACTTTGACAAAGCTGAAGTTTTTCTTTAAGGGTTTCATCACCCCATTCCATCTATTCATTCATTCATTCTGAAATTATTCATTGAGTTCCGTGTATGTGTTACACACTTCTTTAGATGCCAGAGAATCTAAAAATAAGTAATGGTGAATAAAAATACACAGAATCTTACTGTTATAGAATTTACATTCCTATTTGGTGATTTAGACATGTACAATATGTCAGATAGCGAAAAAGAACATGAAAAATAAAATAGAGTGACAAAGGAGTGCTATTCTATCTAGGGTGGAACAGGCTTCAATGATAAGATAACATTTGAAAAAAGACCTACAGGAAGTGAAGTATATTAGGCCTGTGGAGAGTGGATATTTCAGTCATAAGAAATAGCAAGTACAAAGGCTTTAGGGAAAAAAAACCACTGGAATATGTGAGAAGCAGCAAAGGTGCTGGGGTGGCTGGTGCTGTGATATAATGAGACTGGAAAGAGTAGAATGAGTTGAGGTCAGTGAGATCACATTGAGCTGCAGGCTACTGAGACAGCAGTGATTTGATCTCACTTGTTTTAGCAGGATCAATCTGGTTGCTCTATTGCAAAGAGAAGACATGGGTGGGAAAATACCTGTTGCAATAATCCAGGCAAAAGATGAAGACGTGTTGAAATAGAGTAGTAGCAGTGGGGTTAGTAAAAAGTGATTAGCTTTTGGATGTTTCTGAAGCTAGAAATAACAGGATTTTCTGATGGACTGGATGTGCAATATGAAAAAAACAAATAAACCAAAAAAAAAAAGTCTGAACAGTGGTTTTACTATAAGCTGAAATGAAGAAAACCGGGGAAAAAAAGTTCTGATATGAAGTTTGCAGTACTCTAGTAAAATGGAGATGTTAAGCCAACTGATGGAAGTTAAGGCCAGAGATAGAGTTGATAGTGTACAGGTAGAATTTAAAGTCACGAGACCAGATGAAATCACCTAGAGAGTGAGTAGTAGAGAACATGATAAAAAAAAAATAAGGAAAAAAAATTGATGCATATAGTTCTGGGCATTGTTCTAAGCACTTCCCATATGTAAATTCACTTAGTCTTTACAACCACTGTAGGGGGCAGCTACATTTATTATATTCACTTTGTGATTGAGGAAACTGAATCTTGGAGAAGTGACTTTCTTCTGATCGAACAGCTTACAAGTGGCAGAGCTGAGATAAACCAAAGTAGAGAAAAATAAAATACTGAATGTTAAAGCCCTCGCACACTCCAATTTTTACCAATCAGGGACATAAAGAAGATCCAGCAAAGGAGACTGAATAGGAGGTTCCAGATGGGTAGGAGGAGAAGCTTAAGTGGTGTTTCAGGAGCCCAGAGGGCAAAACGGAGAAAATGTTCCACAGCATCAAATGCTGTTGGCAAGTCCAGGAAGATTGAATACTAATACTGCATTTAACAAAGTGGCTCTAATCAGTGACCTTAACAAAGATGTTTTGAAGCAGTGGAGGAGTTAAAGCTCAAGCACAGTGCGTCCAAGAGAGAATAGAAGCATCGAGTTCAACTCTTTGGAGTTCAGCACAGGTACCAGCCAGCCCAGATCCAATCACAGGTACAGTATTCACATAAGCATGTGAACTAAAGTAGCAGTTGAGATTTGTTACATAAACAAAATAGAAATTCAATTGGGAATTTGATGGGGGAAAGATGTGGGTAACTTTATAGTCCTTTTCAAAGAGAACAAACTTCATTTCCTTTCTCTGGGCATTCAATCTTGGTCTTTCCTTTATTAGAAAAATTTTCCTAGCTCCGAGTTTACCTATCTCCTTTCTCTAAATTAAATTTTTCCTGTACCATGTTTTGTCTGTCGATACACCCCCAAGCTAGCACAGGAACACCCAAAAAGGGTACAAATAAAAGTGTGATAAACACTTGCTAGCATACTAAATATTGAATATCCTCCCCTGAGGTGATTGCATAATTAACTCAGTCATTTAAATTGATTAAAAACTTTATGTTGTTCTTTCTAAAGGCATGTATAAGATCTTGATATTCCTATTATTGTGAAAAAAAAATTTTTTTTTTTAATATTTATTTATTTATACAAGCATTGGGTACAGTCAGAAGCGTGGGAGGGTGAGAGAATTCACCAGAGCCAGAGCGGGGAGCAGAGCAGGCAGAAGGACCGAAGTACACTGCTGAGGGGAGCAGCGGGCGGCAGGAGAGGTCTGCGTGCCATGTGGGACCCTCCTCTGGTGGCCGGGGAGCAGCTGGGAATCGAACCGTCGCTGCAGAGGCTGCGGGCAGCTTCGCAACCCAGCGCTCAACCGCTGCGCCACCGGGGAGGCCCTATTGTGAAAATTTTTATAGTAGTTTATCCTGTCCCTTTCCCTGTCCCCCTCATTAAACAATAAAATATTTCCTAGTATAAGATTTTACTTTTCTTTGAGTACCTTATTTTCATTTACCATACCTTTGTATCTTATTCAGTCCTTTTCTTTGCTGGTCATACATACATCCTTTCAAACTTCATTAGCACATCACTTAGCACACAGGAAATAATCAGTATATAGTTTTTGTTTTTTAAAGAATTGTTTTCTTCTTTTTTTTTTTAAAGATTTATCTATTTATTTGTTTATTTATTTATTTATTTATTTATGCAAGCACTGGGTATAGTCAGAAGCGCGGGAGGGTGAGAGAATTCACCAGAGCCAGAGCGGGGAGCAGAACTGGCAGAAGGACTGAGGTATACTGCTGAGGGGAGCAGCGGGCGGCAGGAGAGGTCTGCAAGTCATGTGGGACCCTTACCGGCTGCCGGGGATCAAACCGGCACTGCAGAGGCTGCGGGCAGCTTTGCAACCCAGCGCGCAACCCTGGGGAGGCCCAGTATATAGTTTTGATTGATGAATGAATATTTATTAAAGCCAATTGGTTTTAATGCCATTGCCCTGTACTGAATGGTATTGATGCTAACTGCAGATAGCCGGACCACCATTCCATATGGTAACAATTGCATAATATTCTTAGCTTAGGGACATAATATTTTTAGTTAGATTTGTAAAAGGATAAGAAGCACTATTCAAACACCAAAATAATAACAATAACTAAACTCAAAAGTCGATAATTTTTTTTCTTTTTGATATTAAAAATATTCAGTTACTTAGTAATTAATATACTTGTGAATTTGTTTTACCGTGACTTTCCATTCATATCTGAATAAGTGAATATTCTTTAATTTATATTTCTGGTCATCTGGTTCATAGAATATAAGTGACTACATTATTCATTCTATTATGAAAACCTGACTTTCACTGGTACATAGAGATGAGTAAGCTAGTTAAACATTGCACATATTATAGTGAATGGTAGAATCCTGAAACTTGAGATTTCAGAACTTTGCAAGTGGTTACAATGCAATAATAATATATTTCCAGAAACCTTTAATGTAATAGACAGCACAATATTTTATTACCTAAACATCTACAAGGAGATGTTGGCAGATGATGGGTTAAGCAAATGCCAAGTTGAGGAAGGAAAAGGCTATTTACTGTGGTTACTCTCTACCGCACATCTGATTTTACAGTTTGGCTTTCACTATTCACCCATAATACTTAGTTACAAATTTGCCAGTGTGACTCAATGGGTGAACTGCCTTGTGACAGGAATGAACAACTCTCTGACAGGGATTTTCAAACCACAGATTATCTATTTCATTCTATTTTGGAATGAATATTATATTTTCTTTACCCCTTACACTATCCATGTTAAACTCTATGTACAGAAGTTACCAAAATTTCATAAAACAAGGGAAAACAAAGTAATGATGCATTTATATTATAGATGGAAAGTTTAGGCTTAGGAAACTTGTCATGCATCCAAATCACATAACTAGTTAGCAGCAAAGCTAAAACTCAAATTCAATCACCTCATCTCCAAGTTCTATACCTTTCACTCTTTCCACTATTCTCTAATTTTTGCTCATGAGGCCAATCATTTGTGTAGTTTAAGAAGTCTTAGAATGGTTCCATTCACCAGAGAATGCATATTTTAGATGCCAAGATCTTTTAAAATGAAAATATCTTTAAGAGGTAAAAAAAAAACTTTTACAGAGGAACTTCGGCGTTTTTTGAGCTCAGTAGCTGTTATCCTATGGTGATACAATCTTTTTATTAGGGTAGAGAACACAGGGGAGTCCAAGCAGCTTAGGACGCAAACTGGGTAGCTGGAGAGTTCATATGAATGGGGCAATTTGCTAAACTGCTTGGGGCCAAGTAATTGGAAGGTAGGGGTAAAGAAAGAAACTATTAATCTAAAGATGCAATTTTTTTGAACAGCTAGCTCAGAGATTCTTAACTGGTGATGATTTGGTCCTCCAAAGGAAACTTGGGCAAAATTTAGAGACATTTTTGTCACAAATGGGGGTAGTAGTGCTACTGACATCTAATGAATCATGATCAGGAAATCAGGAATACTGCTAAACATCCTACAATGCACAGGGCAGCCCCACAACTAAGTATTATCTGACCAAATCTCAATATCACCAAGGTAGAAAGACTCTGGATACAGGAAGAAAAATTCATTGAGAAGCTAAAGGAAACTTCTTGAATTATTACTTAGTTTATGCATTCAAGAATTAGGAAATAAGTCACACACATAACTAACATTTCCTGCCCTTCCCCCTGCACTTTTTAGACTTGGTTAACATTTTTGAGGGAATTCTAGAGACTAGCTTTCCGTGGAACATTCCACAAATTCTCATGGCATCTGTGTGGAGAAATAGGTATATCAAGACATCAGATGGGTTGGATAGATTTGGAGCTGGTTGTCCAACTGCAAACTACTCGTTAGTAGACTGAAGTCTACTGATAAATGTTTGATGGCAAAAGGATTAAGGTTTGTAGTTCCCTGCAGCTGAATTCCGTCTTTGGCTTGGTCTAATTATTATAAACAACTTGAATAAAGACTTACATGGAATGCTGATCGGATGAGGATGTTAAAAAAAAAAAAAACGGGAAGAGCAGGAAGCCAAATAGATCTTGACCACTGAACAAATAGTTTACTTCGTTCGGGGCAGCACATGTCACTGTGGAGAAACAGGAATTGACGATGGAAATTACAGTGGAGGATATGAGGAAGGACAAGATTATTGCCGTATTATAAGGACTTGCATCAGGATTGACCATGTACAGTATGCCCCTGGGGGAAACCAGAAGCAACAGGTTGAAGTCATCGGTAGATTTTGTCCTAATAAATAGGAGCACAATTTGATGAACAAACATTAGAATTGTTCAAAGGTGGGATAGAGAACCTTGAAAGGTAAGGCTTTTGCTTACTATTATGCAGGGACCACACGATGACTCTTTAGTATCAACGATTTTTTTTTCAAATATTTATTTTTATTTATGCATAGAACTGGGGTGTAAGCGAGAGATGCAGGGAAGGTAGGGTTTTTGCTTACTATTATGCAGAGATACACGATGACTCTTCAGTGTCAATTAAGGGTTTTTTGTTCAAAGATTTATTTTATTTATGCATAGAACTGGGGTGTAACCGAGAGCTGCAGGGAGTGTGTGTGAGAGGATTCACCAGAGACAGAGTGGGGAGCAGAACAGGCAGATCTACTGAAATACACTGCTGAGGGGAGCAGCTTGAGTCAGGAGAGGTGGGTAGCTCCCTTTTGGGGCAGCAACCTGGCCAGGGAGTGGGAGATCTGGATGCAGTAGATGGTGATAGCTTGATAGTGCTGCGACTTTAACCCCTGCGCCATCAGGGAGGCCCTCAAGTTAAGTTTGCTGGTATTTTTCCCAAGAACACATTTCAATTCTGCTTTGCATTCTGGCCCCCCACCCACCTGCCCCCCAGAGCGTCCTCCAGTGCCGCCCTATTGAGACAGTAGCAAACAGGTGTCCCCAGAGAAAGTCTCCCGCTGGCTGGGAGTCGGCCTAGTAGCAATAGACCCGTTCACGCGAGTTTTGTCAAACAGCTGTAGCCCTGGGCAGCCTTCTTTTCTGGTTTTCTAAGCTCGTTTCCAGCTGCGAGCTTTTTGGAGACTTGCGCGTTTCAGGGGTGTTCTGTGGCGCACCCCACACCCGGGAGATGAATAATGTAGACTGCGTGAAGCGCGTCAGAGAACAGCCGGGATCGCCTCAGAGGGAACAGATTGTGTTCAGGAGCTGACAGCGGGACAAGGAGGGAAGCGTCCAGGCTCATTAGAACCTTAGCCCGCTGCGGACTACGGTTAGGGAAACCTCGCGCCTCCACACAACTCACACAGCCACCCCAACCCCAAAAGGGAATCCCCAATCCCTCCCTTGAGCTCCCAGCCCGCTTTTATACTCCGAGGCGCGCGCGCGCGCGCCCGGCGGCTCGCAGTGGACCAATGAGAGGGCGCTCTCTCCGCGGCGGCTCGGGATTGGGCGACCCGCGCCAGCGTCTCGGCCAGGTCGCGGGCGGAGCGCCCGAGGAGGGCGTGGAATAGGCGCGCCCGCTGCGCCGGCGCCCCGGGAGCGCGTGCGCGGTCTCGCGGCGGCCGCGGGGGCCGGTCTCGCGCGGTCTCGAGGTGGAGTCACAGGCGGCGGCCGCGACTGGCGGCGACTGGCGGCGGCGGAGCGGGGCCGGGGCGGGGGCGGGGACTGGGGCTTGTGAGGTGGGAGTCGGGAGTTTCTGGATTCTTCAGCTGGTATTTTAAGTGCCGCCGGGGAGCTGTCGTTTCTGCAGTGAGCAGCAGCTGCCGGGCCTGGCGGGTCGGCTGCCGCCGCGGCGCGGAGGTAAGAGGCGGCCGGGCCGGCGGCCGCTCGGTGCGGGGCGCTTCCTCAACAGGTCCCCGGACCCCCGGCGGGGGAGGGGCGCCGGGCTCGCCCCCTCCCCACACGCCGCCCGCGCCGGCCGGGGCGGGACCCGCCCGGAGCAGCGGGAGCCGCGGCGGGCCGCGGAGGGCGGGAGCCCAACCTTTGTCCCTCCGAGGAGCGCTGCCCCGAGCTGCCCGCTCCCCTTCCCGCAGCGGGGGACGCGCCTCGGCGGGGGCTCCTGCCGGCCGGAGTCGCCGTGGACGCGGCTCCGAGTCGGCTGTCCTCGCGGGCCCCGAGTTCTCGACTTCCAGGACCCCCCAATAGTCCCGGCCGGGCGCGGCGGCGAGGGGTGCGCCTCGCGGGGGGAAGGCGGGGGGTACCCGGCCCCGCTCGGCCCAGCGCTGGGCGCTCGCTCGTCCTTTGGAGAAATAAACAAACGGTTGCACTTCCTTGTGACTCAGGTTGAAGGAAAGCTCAGTCTTTGGTTTGTGATCCTTCCCGATTGCAAGGTAAATTTTGAAGCCTGTGAATCGTGGAAGCTGCATTTCAGGTGTTTTATACAGTCTTCGGTTTGAGTTACGTAACTTACTACTCAAATAATAACTCGGCTGCTGTTGAGTTGATTGAGTTACGGTGACATGAGCGGAATTCAGGGTTCGGTAGAAAGACCTCTTGGTAATTGGCGCTAAAATTAAAATCTGATCGGTGGGAGATTTTTTGGAAGCATTGTGTGCTGTGTGGGTTGTCTCGTTTAGATGGTGAGAATTTAGATTTGGAGAGGCTGAAGAACAGGGCTGCGAAGTTTTATTTTACTGTCTAAGGTGAAAGGCGTTGATATTTCTGATTTTTAGAAAGTCGTATTTTTCATGATAGTGTCCTTGTTAGTCTTTTGGATTGTACCAGAAGTTAATAACCTATTAAATTCTGCAAATGATATGTTAGTTATTGGTGTCTTTGAAGTGTAAGTATTGCTGGTAATGGAATTGTTAAATAAGCTGTTTTTGGATTGTGAACTACTAATTTTACTAGATCTTGTGGACATGGCATATTATGAGTTTTAAAAGGCTCTCTATGGTAGCAGACGGAAGCTATTAAACTAAAATGCTAAGATCATTATTAGATGAAACAAGCAAATTATTTTATTGTATTTTTAAATCAAGTAAATCTTACCCTGTACCTAAGTAACTTTTGCCTGGATAGACCTGAAGTAGACAAGGATGGATTCATTAATAATATTAACTTGTTTTAGAATGTTAAAATGGGAGAGGATGTATATTTTACCAGGTTGGTAACTGCTTATGTGCCCTTCCTGAATTATGATCTTTATTAAAAAGCTCATCAAGACATACCAAGAAATTTGTCAATTTTGTATATCACTATACAAAGATGTCCTATTTCTCTGATAATTTCTGATTTCAGGGTGTCTGGGAAAAAGTTTACCTATGTGCTTTAGAATATAGTTTTTGATCATGTACTTGTTGAGTTGGAAGCAATTGAAATGTTACATAGCCTAACCTCTTCATTTTCCTGGAAAAGCAAAGTGAGGTTTATAGAGTTAAGAAGTCCATAGTCTGGCTGCAATTAGTGGCAGAATTGGAATCAAGTGCTAAAATGCTTGTCTCCAGATTGCAAGTACAGTGCTCTTTTTATTATATTCTGCTGTTAAATAAAGAAACCAATAAGATACTCTTCTCAAATTCATATATGCAGCAGCAGGGTTTTTTTTTTTCCCCCCTTTCCTTTCTAAAATAACCACTAAGCATAGTTAATTCACTCTCCTTGAAGGATTTTTAGTTTTTCATTATTTCTAACAATGTACAATGAAAATCTTGATGTATGTCTCCTGGGGTACATGTGTGAAGGTTTCCCTAGAGTGCTGTCCATCTGCCTGGAAATGGAATTGCCGGACTTTAGATCAGTGTGCATTTTGAACTTGACTAGCTACTGCACAGTATCCTCTAAACTTGTAACAATTTGCATTCCTGCCAACATGAGTCATGGGCTTCTCATCCTTGCCCTCACTTGGAATTTTCAAATTGACATTGTCAGATTTTTAAAATTTTGATGTAGTTATATCAAAAAGATTTTATTTAACTTGTTTTAATTTACATGAAATTAACTATTTTCACTGCATAAAATGTTTTGACAAATACATAGAGCTGTATAACACCAAAATCAAAATATATGACAGTTCTTTCACCCCAAATTCCCTTTTACTTGTGGTCTATCCTTCCCATGACCATTTCTTACATTTAGCATAATACGTTTAAGATTTATCTGTGTTTTCACGTGTTCATCCATGTTGAGTGACAAATCAGCCAGTTCCATCTGTTTTAATGTTGAATGTAGTATTCCATTGTGTGGATTTATCACTGTTTATCCAGTCACCAGTTAAAGGATTGAGTTTTCAGGGTTTTTTGGTGGTTATGAATAAAACTGCTATAAATTTTGGCCTATCAGTCTTCATTTCTCTCAGGTGAGCACTTACAAGTGGAATTGTACATTAATTTTAAGTGTATGATTAACTTTATTTTTTAATTTTTTAAATTTTTATTTATTTATGCATACAAGAACTAGGCTGTGGGCCAGAGATGTGGGAGGAGAGAGGATTCACCAGAGACAGAGTGGGACAGAACAGGCAGACCTGCTGAAATACGCTGCTGAGGGGAACAGCAGGTGAGACTGGAGAGGTCTGCTGTGCCTTGTGTGAGTTAGCTCCCTGGCCATGGATTGAACTCGTGATGCAATGGTGATAGCTTGACAGCCCTGAGACTCAACCCTTTACACCACCAGGGAGGCCCCTAACTTTATTTATTTATTTATTTATTTATTTATTTATTTATTTATTTTAAAACTGTCTCTGGTAGACAGAGATGTCCTAATCCTTGGGACCTATGACTAAATAAAGTTACATGACAAACATGAATTGAAATTAAAGCATCTGGAATTAAAATTGCTGATCAACTAAGTTTAATAGGGAGATTATCCTGGATTATCCAGGTGAGCCTAATGTATCACAAGTCTTTAAAAGGAAAAGAGAGACGCAGAAGAATAGAGTCATAAAAAAAGATGTAGCAAAGGAAGTGGGGCCAGAGAGATGCAGAATTGCCAGGTTTGAGGATGAAGTAGGGATGCAATAAACTAAACAATGTGGTGGTCTCTCAAAGCTGGAAAAGGCTAGGAAATAGATTCACCTGCCTGTAGAGCCCCCAGAAAACTCAGTTCCGCCAACACCTTCATTTTACTCTAGGGAGACCAGTGTCAGATTTGTAACTTACAGACCTGTAAAATAATAAATTTGTGTTGCTTTAAGTCACTAAGTTTGTGGTAATTTGTTACAACTGTATAGGAAACTAATAAACTATAAAACTGTTTTCCAAAGAAACTAAACCACTTTATGTTCCCATCAGCATTGTATGATTGTATCACAGTGTTTCCATTACTTTACAACCTCATCAACATTTGGTATAGTCAGTCTTCTAAATTTTAGTAATTCTGATGGGTATGTAATAATAGATTATTGGAGTTTTTAATCTGCATTTTCCTCATGATTAATGATGTTGAGCACTTTTTTATGTACTTATTTACTATTTGTATATATTCTTTGGTGACTGTCTAAATCTTTTGCCTATTTAAAAACTGGACTTTCTTATTTTCATGTTTTACCAGTTCTTTATAGTCCTTCACCAGATATATCATTTGCAAAGATTTCCTCTATGGCTTGTCTTTTTCTTACTCTTAACTATATCTTTTGAGGTAGAGTATAAAATTTTGATAGTCCAAATTATGGATATTTTATGACTCACTTTCTTTATTGTATCTAAGAACTCTTTGCTTGACTCAAGGTCACAGAGACTTTTTCCTATGTTATAGTATGGTAAATTGTGTCAATTAGGCTTTTTACGCCACTAACCTCAGCGGCCATCACCTGTAACCTTGGTCGAGTTAAGGCAGAAGGCGCTTGGGAGTGTGGGCGCAGGACATTCATGCCTGACTGTGGCCACCTGGAGTATGGGTGCAGGCATGCTGTAAGTGTACACACCTGAGGCTAGAGGCCGGGAATATAGGGCAGTGCCACTCAGACAGACGTCGGCTACAAGACCAGCCGTGGGACTACAGAAGAGGGAAGACCATGAGATGATTTGAGAGGGAGAATGCCAGAGAGTGCCCAGAGAGTGTAAAGATTCATAGGGGGCTTGGAGGCTGGGTTGCTTGCCTGCCTGCCTCCCACCTGCCCTGCCTGGCCATGCCTGCTTCCTTGCATGCCAGTCGACCTGCCTGGTGTGCCTGTGTACCTGGTTACCTGACAGAGCATTAAAGCCTGAAAAATCCTCTGTGGACTCTGGGACTCTTCCTTTATTCGTCTGCCTAAATCCATAGCGGACCTGGGTGGTGCTTGCTGGCACAACAGTTTTCTTCACATGTTTCATATTTTACATTTAGACCTATGTCCCATTTTGAGTTAATTTTTGTTGTAAGAGAGGTATGGGTTGAGTTCATTTATTTATCCAATTGTTCCTTGACCATTTGTTGAAAAGACTCTTCTGAGTGTCAACTATAGACAGTTGAGTAATCACAAGTCAACTTGGTCAGAGTAGATCAAATTCAGTGAATGTATCAAATCAATTACTATGCAGTGAAACATAGTTAAACCTTTAATAGCATAGATTTGGACTGTGAGAATTCACTTATATGCAGATTTTCTTGTAAACAGACAACATAAACTCAGTGGTACCAAGAACACTATAAATGTTTTTCTCTCCTTTGTGAGTTTCTAAGTATTTTCATTTCTCTAGCTTACTTTATTGTAAGAATAAATAATGCACTTAAACATACAAAATATGTGTTAATCAACTGTTTGTTATTTGTGAGGCTTCCAGTCAGCAGTAGTATATTAGTAGTTAAATTTTGGGGAGTCAAAGTTATATATAATTTTCAACTGTGCAGGGAGTTGGGGCTCCTAATCCCCTTGTTATTCAAGGGTCAACTGTATTTTAAAAAAAAAAGTGTAAGCAGCAGCCAGGCTCTGTTTATTTTACTTAAGATGCTGCTTCATGAAAAATGTGGCTGCACAAAAAATATGTACTTTAATATTTTGAATTACGAGGTTTTTCCTTCATCAATTCAGACTATAAAAGATAGTTTTAGTTATGAAGAATAGAGTGTCAGTAACATAATCAGTTTATTTAATTTTACCTTTTTTTAAATAAACTTGAGCTCTCATGACTTGGCCATTATAACATTTTAAGCAGTTTGTTTTTCTGTCCCATATAAAGTTCTTTCTTGGGTTAATAAGTGACTCAGAAACTCTAAAGATTGAAGTTTTGAGGCTTCTGAGTTCTTGGTATTTTTGATCTTTTAAGGCAGGTGTTGACACCTTTCTGTAAAGGCCAGATGGTAAATATTTTAAGCTTTGCACACCATGTCATTTTTTTGCCTTAAATACTCACCTCTGCTATTATAGTGCAGAGACAACCAAATGAGTGTGAGTGACTGTGTTCTAATAAAACCTTATTTTAAGAAACAAGGTTTGCCTGATTTGATTTGTAGGTATACTTTGGTTTAGGCAAAAAATCTGCCAGAGATGCAAAACTAATTGTAGTAATGTAGTGGAAAGAGCCTTAGAATCAGCTGAGTTGGATAGTTAGTCTATGCTGTAATTCCCAACCAGGACCTCACTTTGCCCATCTAGAACATGTAGCTGCCTTGGAAGATGACCAAAAATTTTTAAATAAGGTATCTAAGGTACTGAGCAAAATACTATGACACATGGTAGATACTTAGTGTTTGCCCCCATCCATATACCTGCCTCGTAAGACCCACAATACTTTGTGACAAATCAACAGATGTGAAATCAAGCAGATTTGTGATTTTTACAATTTGTAGTATATCTAATTATTCCAAGTATTAGAAATTATATTTGTGTTTATAGTTATAGCTAAATTGTGCTTAGAATTACAATTTTTTGGTAGAAGTTTTAACTGTTTGACTTCACAATAGTATCAGAAATTTCACATCAAAAAATTGAGTTTGTGTTAAAATCTCATTTTTCCCCCATCTTGCTCCTGATTTTATTTATTTTTTATTTTTTAATAATAAATTTTATTTTTATATTCCCCATACAATTGCAACCCCCTTATTTTGACCCAAATCCCTCCCCTCCCGCCCCTACCCCCCATAGAGTGTCTCTGGTTCATAGTTTTTTGTTGATTTTGATTTTCACTTTCTTATAGTTATTCATTTTCCTGGTCCCTTATTTAAGTTTTCTAGATTCCTGCTATGAGTGAGACCATCCGGTATTTTTCTTTTTCTTTCTGGCTTATTTCGCTGAGCATGATCCCATCCAGCGCCATCCATGTTGCTGCAAATTGCATGTGTTTATCTGTTTTGAATGCTGAGTAATATTCCATGGTGTGTATGTACCACATCTTCTTGATCCAGTCATCTATTTTTGGGCATTTGGGTTGTTTCCAAAGCTTAGCTATTGTAAATAGTGCTGCTATAAACATAAGGGTGCAGGTGCTCTTTGGAATTGATGTTTCTGTGTCCTTTGGGTAAATACCTAGGAGTGGAATTGCTGGATCATATGGAAGCTCTATGTTTAGTAGGTCCAGAAATCTCCACACAGCTCTCCATAGTGGTTGGACCAGTTTGCACTCCCACCAACAGTGCAGAAGAGTTCCTTTTTCTCCACACCCTCGCCAACATTTGTTGTTGCTAGTTTTTTTAATATGTGCCATTCTCACTGGTGTAAGATGGTATCTCATGGTAGTTTTGATTTGCATTTCCCTGTATAATCTCATATTTTAAGAGATTAACATTGTCACTGAAAAGACTTTGATTTTACCCAAGGAGTAAGCTTTCTGTATTTTGCTTTTAAGATTGTTCATTCAAAATAATTGTCTGCCTGTTATTAGTGCACCGAACTAGGTACTCTGCTAGGTGCTTAAAGAATACCCACATTAATTTTTGTGTAATCTTTGGAATATAAATGAAACTGCAGAAAGTTGTTTTTCTTCTTTTCTGATTTCTTTCAAGATAGAACTGGATTTGAGACTTTAAACTCTCCTTTTCCCTCCGAAAAAGTTTATATTCCTTCACAGATCATAAGTAGAGATGTGCTCTATTCTAGGTGGTTATTGGAATAACCTTACCTAGTAGCAGTTAGTTGCAGGATTGGGGTTTAGAGCTCAAGTACCAAATTCATGATCTATTCAATATTTTTTTGTAGTAAACGATTGCCTTACTGTTAGCTCTCTTGTGACTGGCTTCTTGACTCCTAGAGATCTAGTTTTCTTGTCCTACATTTTTTTTCCATTTTCCCCCTAAAATTTAAATAGAAATGCCAGTCTTAGCAAATTTAATGAAGAAAACTTTATAATATTGTTCAAATACAGTTGAAACTTTGACTATAAATGTATTGTACTTAATATGAAAGAAAAGTTTTGCTAGTTTTTAGCAGATTTTAAAATTCTATTAAAAATATAATTCCATTTTACAATAACTATATTATCTGTTATGATATTGTGCATAAAGAATGGTTTTTCTTTGTTCTACAAGTAATTATCCATTTTTGCATAGTTTTGTCTGCCTCAGATTATCTAACAATACATACAGTAAATTGTAGATAAATACTGAATATTTTAATGTGAAGACTTTAAACAGAATACATAGAA